CAGTTCCTCCTGATAAAGACGTGAGGGGATTTTTCTCCACTCTTCACGGTGAGAACTTGGTGGGCTCCTTCTGGTAAAAGCCACAGGTCCCTCTAAGCCTGAGGAGTTCCGCACCTCCAGCTAGTCCACACTGGGCATCCAGCAATGCAGAGTCAAAACTGCCGTCCCCCAGTGTTCCTACGCAGCTCTGGCCCCAACAGCTTCTGCACCCACTAGCGGATCTCAGCTGGGACCGTCCGCGCTCCTTGCTCCGGATTCTGGGGGACAATTTGCCCTTTGACCTCAGTTCTCTGACAGATGTGAGAAAACTCGTTTCTGTTTTTTAAAAATTTCTATTGTTATGTTAATCACCATACATTACATCATTAGTTTTTGATGTAGTGTTCCATGATTCATTGTTTGTGCATAACACCCAGTGCTCTTTGCAGAACGTGCCCTCTTTAACACCCATCACCAGGGTTCATGTATCATATGACCTCACTGCTTCTGGTTTTATTCAGCTTTTTTCTTGTTAGGATGAGGCATCGTGGCTGCTAAGATCTTTACAATCTGAGTTGATGACCTAATGTTTTCGACATTTAGGAGAATCAGAATCCATTAAGGGGCCTCTTGATTGTCTCTTCATTGGATCTCCTTCCTTCTCTCATCTTACAGTTTATTTGTTGAAGAACTGAGGTCACTTTCACATGAATTTTCCCATGTTCTGGATGTTTCTTTGAGGCCAACTGTGCTCAGAGACTGATCCTTGTCTTTGCTAATAGTTTATTTAGCACAGGTCCACGTGGGAATTATAATTTATAGTAGTAATAGTTGCCAAGCCAGGAGCACACAGGATGATGTCTCTTAATAAGCCAATAAGTAACATTCTCCAGACAACAGTCGATTGACGCACGATTGTTCCAGGCAAAGGGGAGAGGACAGAACGGAAGTCCTACTGAGTTGAGGGGTACCTTCCTGCAAGTGGGTCCTCAGAAGAGGCAGCTTAGCCAGTGAGAGCGGACGTCCAGCTGCAGGCACGAAGCCCAGGTCCCCCGCTGCAGAGCACACTGTAGGGGAATGGAGGTGCTGTGCTGGCTGGAAGAGGTTCCCTCTTGGGCGTTCTCACCACGGCCGCCAGGCACCTTGCCGCGCAGGAGCCGATGCCCCAGGTCTTGGGGGAGCGCTGTAGATCAGCAAAGGATGGCCTCGCCCAGACCAGACGTTCTAGGGATGTCCTCGCAAGCTCTCGATGTTTGAAACTTAAATGCCCACTCGTCGCGGCCCCTCTTCCCTGTGTGCCCATCCACAGCTGCGACGGTTTATGGACCACGGATGTGGAAAACTGCATCTTGGCACAGCTCCCTCGGCGTCAACACATTCACCCCGAGATCAAAACAACTCGCCTAAGTCACAAACCAACACACGCACGGGAGCTTGACGCCTGCAGCCCCCTGGTGTCCCTCTCTGCTTCTCCAGCAATGGGATCAATTTCAGCTCCAGTTTTCTTTCAGCCACCCTGTAAGGTGTGGTTCCACAATGAGGCGGATGTTGTCCAGATACCTTAGATTTCCAGTTAGCCGTTCTTCATATAGAATTTTTCTATCTAAATACCACTGTTGTCTCTCCTGACTGAAGCAAGACGTTTGGTCCATTTCCAGGTGATGTCGTTAAGGGCCAATCTGCACGGAAGTCGAGTATCTTATTATTTGCTTTCTTTCTGTCCAATTGCTCTTTGTGCCCTTACTTTTCTTCTTTTGATTGATCGGCTGTGTTTTTATTGCCCTATTGGTCTTTTTTATGACCTCATTGTCTGAAGGCTTAGTTAGCAGTGGATATTACATTTTGTCAAATGCTTCTCCTGTGTCTACAGAGATGGCGATTTTTCTTCTGTTAGTTTAATATGATGAATCACACGGATTAGTTTTTGAACCAACCTTGCATTCCCAGGATAAACTCCACTTGGTGATGACAGTATTATCTTTTTTACGTGTCATTGGATTCCATTTGGTAAAAAGTTTTTGAAAGTATTTTTCTATGTGGATGCAGGATACTGGTCTGTAGTTTATTTTCTTGTAATACCTTTGTCTGGTTTTGGTATGGGGTAACGCTGACCATACAGAAAAGCTGTAAGGGCGCACGAGCGACACGCACGGGTACAATCCAGGTGCCGAGGGGAGCAGGTGGTGCTCCCGTGATAAACACCATCTTGTCCCTCACACCCCTTGGGCTCTCCGCCCCCACCAGCTCTCCGCCGTGGGGAGTGCATACTGCCTCTGGACAGTGCTGGACAACTGGCCCCAGTGGCCGTTTTTGGCTGCATCCAACAGACTTCACACACAAATAAAGCCACAGTGGAGGCCCGCAGGTCTGGTGTTGCATAAGGAACCACATTTATTTCTTAACTGGACAGAATTTTAAGTGCACACACACAGTACAGGAACCTAGAGCCTAACACTCGGGTTCAGGACGTCAGGGAGCTAGAGTCGTTACGTCAGGATGGTGGTTGCAGCGCGGGGCCAGGGTGTGCCGCACAATCACATATGTACAAGCTACAGGGGAGCTCGGGGGACGGCTGGAGGCAGGAGGCTCAGGCCCTCAGGAAGCCACACCTCTGCTGATCCCAGGGGTAAAAGGAGGGCGCCTTCTGGGGCCCCGCGCGGGAGGGAGCTGACAGGGCCAGCACGGCAACCCTGCTCGCCCCTGGACCAGCAGCATTCGGGAACTCTCCCCGAGTGCTTTGCCACGCCTGCCCCACAGGTGCGGAGGAGGGACCAGGACTGACGGAGGGCAGCTCGCTGCAGCCACCGGGGGCGTGGGGGCGTGAGCATGTGATGGTGAATGGGACGCTGGCACCGTAGGAGTGACGACTCAGAACGAGGCGGCCTCGGAACCCTCAGCCCTGGGGACTAGCCTGGATGCACTGGAGCCTAGTGGTCCCCCGCCCTTCCTGGGACCATGGCCGAAGGAGCTCACCCTACCCTGGAGGAGACAGAGAGCTTCTCTGGGTGCGGATGGCTGTCCCTCAAACCAAAATGAGTGGCCTCGAGCGTTAAAACAAAAACCTCCCAGAGAGATGGCTTTCTTGGATCTTTCTTCCTTCCCCACTTGGTGGGAAACAGTCAGGTCTGACTTCCCCTCTGCACCCCACAATGGGCAGACCCTCAGGGGCCCCCAGATCAGCCTCCCGGGTCACAGATGTGAAGGGCACGGCCCAGTTTTTTAAATGCTTGTCCCCCCTAAAGTGACATGTGGGTAGCTTCTGGCAAGGGCAGACATGAGGAGACCAGCTTTTCCGACTCAGATTTCCCTCCCCAGCAACTCTGAGGGTCTGGCTGTGACAACGGGGCTGGGGTTCCCAGGCAACTGCCAAGTGCCACCAGGCCAGAATTAAACAGTCCTTCGAGCACCTCCATGGCCGTGGAGGCTCCCGAATTTAGGGTGACTCCCAGAAACCCTTGCATGGGCCCGCTTCCTTCAGCCCACCCCACGAGGCAGGTGCTCTGTAGGTTGGCTGGCCTCAGATACCTGCGTCCCGGGTGCGAGGGCCTCCGACCCTCCGAGGCCACGGCTGCAGGCTGGCTGACCTGAGCGGGCTGTGGCCGGGGCCCTGCACCTCCGGGCTCCCTGCGGGGAGGCGGGGCTCCTGGGACCCGACTCATCCTGGCACAGCTCCCTCCCTTCCTGGTCCTCCTCCCTGCCCTCCAGGCCATTGTAAAAGCCAGAATAAGTGCTTGCTCTGGACCGTGCTGCAGCCCAGTTCTCTTCGTCCAGGCCTAGGAACGTCTGGTTCCTGGATGACGTTTGATTTCAGCCTGGGGTGTGAGCCCTCGTCTGGGGGCCTCCAGGGAAGGCTACTGAGCCCTGCGCCTCACAGATGTGGTTTCCCGGGCCGTGTCTTAGTGATGGAGCTTCTCCACCCGTGGTGCCTTCCAAGCACTGGGGGGTGAGGGTAGTAGCGAGTGAAAGGGGCCACTGACACGCTGCCTGAGATGGGGTGTGGAACAGGCACGCTCAGTCTCTGCTGCCAGCCAGGCTGGGGCGGCTGGGGCGGCTGGCGGGCCAGACACCGCTGCCAGAGGCCGCTCAGGCTGGGGGCCCACCACCTAGCCCCACGTCCGCGGCGGCGCTGAAGGGGCCTGAATAACTTCTCCAAGGAGAGCCTCAAACTTCTCACCTGGCGTGGGAGCCGAGCCCACGCATCCCTGGAGGAACGCGGCTGCACACACTTCCGACCTCCGTGCACAGAATGGGGACAGGGTCCACATGTCACGTGGGGATGGCCCTGGCCGAAGGGGGGGTTTGGAACCGCTGACTGGGGTGCGACAAGGTAATCCAAACTGAGTGGAAAGGTGAGGGGTCCGTGAGTGGCGCCCCGCAGGGCCCGGCAAAGGCAGCAGGGAACAGTGTGGACCGGCTGGCCTCGAACTTGGGCCTGGAACCCTCCCCGCCGACTCTGAATGAAACCTGCTCTCAGTGGGCCATGGTGGGGACCGGGGTTTTGTGGTTTGGTTGCTCTCTTTCCTAGAGCTGGAAGAAGGTCATGTGTGCCTCTGGGTGTGGGAACAGGTCACGGAAGACCCCCTGGGCCCCGTGGTCTCTGATGCATTTCTGGCCTGGGTGTGATGCCTGGGGCAGACCCTGGCCCTGTCCGGGCTGGCCCTCGGGCATGGAGTCTGCAGAGAGAATGAAGTGAATCTCGTAACAAGAGCTCTCTGAACAGCACAAGGACAGCCCCCTTGGGAGCAGGACAGGGGGCTGACAGTGGCCCCCGTGCTGGCCTCCCTCACCTGACCCCGGGACTCTCAGAAACTCTTCTCTTGGGGCAAAGGGGGGACATCACACATTTTCTTCCCAGGAATGACCTTGAGCTCACCCCATTTCTCACAGCAGCTGGAGAAGCTGCACCCCAAACCCCTCACCGCCTGGACCATCTTGAACCCCAGCCACCAGCACCCTGCTGGCCTAGACACACGATGCCACCTGCAGTCCCTGCCAGGAGAGCCCCACAGCCCAGGTGCCCGTCTGCCTGGTCTCCCCCCACTCCCCATGCTCCCAGGGAGAGACACCTCCAGCTAGAAGACCACGCCACCCTCCGTGGCTCGGACTCCAGGCACCAGGTCCCCTGACACTCACACACACACGCCCCGGGATGAGGGCCTGCTCCGTGTGCGGCTGGGGAGAAGCCTCTGCTTGGGCCTGGCCTGGCGTACCCCCATGGTGCCAACAGGGGGTGCCCGGCCTGTGCAGACACCCCTTTACCACGGCCTTCCCTACGAGCCTTGGGGGATGTGAGTGGGAGCAAGCGGGGACAGGGTCCATCGGAATCCTACAGGTCTATGTGAAGGCATTAGAAATAAATACTTATAAATAGAACACAGTCTTATAGTTAATTTCTGAGTGGACTGTTTCAATGTCACTAACTAATGTATATTAATTATAAGTCTGTCTATGCTTAAAAAAATATCAGAACGGCGGTGATGCCCCTGTGACTTGTGCCCTCTGGCCTCTCCAGCACCTCCCAGCTCTTCCCACCCAGGGCACGCTCGGAAAGAACAAAGAACAAACGCGGCCTCTGCTGGGAGCAGGACAGGTCGTGTGGCGCAGGTCTCCGGGCCAGAGGTGGTGTCCCCAAGAGGGGACTTGCTGGCTGGCTGGTGGGGCAGGCTGGGCGCGCGTGACATGACGGGTGGTGATGAGGCCTGGGGGTGGGGCCGGCCTGCTGGCTGTCGGGAGGGCTCCGGCTCACACCCGCATCTGGGCAGACCGCCTTCTGGAGAGCTTGGACCTGCGGGAGGGTCGGGAGACAAGCTGCGGTCGGGATGCCGGCCTCCCTGCAGCTGACACCCCTCTGCTTCCCTCACCACCTGGAGAGCGACTCCCGTCCCTGTGGCTCACGGGGGCAGCCCGCCCGCCAGCCAGGGGTCCCAGGTGTCCCACCCACCGGGGCCTGACTGCGTGCCGCATTTCCACCTACGTCAGGCCGGCCCCTGGCACACTGTACATACTGGACGTCTCGGGGATTTATACACTTTACCAGCAGCGACACCACAACGAACACTAATGTCCTCAGAACGTGCCCCCGGCCAAGGAGCAGGGGGGCGGGCGGCCCTTACCGTATGGTGCCGGCCAGGAGCGGGTTGAAGGCGTACAGCCAGTCGTGCATGTCCTTGTCGCTGCCGGCCTGCAGCAGGAGGCCCCGGTGCTCCGTGCACACAGCAAACGTGTTGGGCGTCTGCGGGGGCAGGCGGGCGGCCGTGAGAAGCCTCGAGGCTTCCCCCGGCCACCCCCCGGGGCCCGGCTAGGACCGCTCAGGAGGCAGGATGCGGGAAAGAAGGCCCCCACTCTTTGCAGCCTGCACGGCCCATTCTGATGCAGGCAGGTATGGCCCACTCGCAGAAGGCTCTGCAGTCAGGACACCCTGACTCTTTCACACCCCCGGGCTACCTCGCCGCTGCTCTGCAGCCCCCAGGATGCGTCTACCCCCCACGGGTGGAGGTTCCTTCCCCGTGACCCTGGCTCAGCAGCTGCGCCTGGCCTCTTCTGCTAAAGTCCGAGCACTCGGTGGGGCAGGTGTGGGTGGCAGGCTGAGTTCGTGCCCCCAAACCCCTACTACAGGGCATCAGAACCAGCTAGCGGGCACTGCGACTCCAGAAGGAGTCAGGGCTCCTGGCACACACGTCCAGGGCCACTGCGGCTTGGAGGGGAGCAGGGCAAAGCTTGGGGACTCCCAGGCCCACATGGCCAGCCCCGTGGGGCTGGCTGGCCCCAGGAGAAGGGGACTGGGTATTGGCCTCTCCTGAATGGGAGTGGGTCAACGCCTGTCCCCGGCCCCCGCAGGACCACAGCCCATCACGGCTGGTTGTCACCAGGACTAGGAGCCCCACGGGTGAGCAGAGAGGGACCCCCGACATGAGAGGCAAAGGGATGCTGCGCGAGACAGAACACGAGGGCCTCGGTCTGGCAGCGAGCCTAAACAGGGCCCGCAGGGGACTAGGCCCAGCTCCCCCTCCCCAAGGCCCGCTGGTGGCTTGCAGGCCTCGGCCAGCCCGGGACCCCCCATCCCGTTTCCGAGGCCGCACCTTGAGCATGGCCTGCTGGTCCTCGCTGTACTCCACCTGGGCGGTGGAGAGGTTGAGCACAAACCTCTCCACGGCATCCTTGTCACTGTTGTACATGTAGGCATAGGGACGCCGCACCACCACAAAGCGCTTGGCCCAGCCCGCCGTGTGAGGCTCCAGGAAGTGCAGGTACCCCTTCTTAGAGACGATGGGGCTGCAGGGCAGGGACAGTCGCTGGCTCGTGTGCTCCTGGCAGTCGGGGGGGGTCTCCACGCGGGGCCCCCCACCCACCACCAGGACCCTGGCAGTACCAGCCACCGAGAAGGTCAGAAAGTGGGCCCCCGGGGAACAGCCAGGGCCGAGGTGTTATGGGGCACCTGGCGGAACCCCAATCCAGGAGGTCGGACACCAGAACCGCCACTTCTGGGCCTCAGTTTCCCCAGCTGTATGATGGAGAAACTGAAACAAAGCTGAAGCTGCCCCTGAGCTGGCCCTCTGTGTCACGTGACCATAGCCCGTAGACGGTGCCTTCTTAGGGCTGCCTGGGCAGACTAGTGACGCGCAGACGCACGGAAACCGTGGCTCTGCAGAGGCGCCTGCTGGGTCCCCCGCCCCAGGCCTGGCCCTGGCCCACCCTCCTCCCTGTGCCGTCCGCTCTTTCTCTGCCCCTGCCCTCGGTCGGGGGTGGCCAGCCTGTCTCCCTTGTATGGAGCTGTGGGGACAGAGCAGGCTGGGTGGTGCTTTAGAAGCGCCCCTGTTTGGGGCAGGGCCCCCCACACACCTGACCCGGATCTCCTGGATGTCGGGAACCAGCAGGCGCTGGGGCTCCTTGTCCGCCTCCGTTGCCCGAGCCGGGGAGGGAAGCTTCTTCGGATCTGTCTCTGGCACTGGTTCGGGCTCTGGACTGGCCGGCCGGGAGCAGGGCTGAGGGGTCCTGGGAAAGCAAAGTCGAGCCTTTGCATTCCTGCAAGGAGACGCCTCGCTGGGCTGGGGCGCCATCCCGGCCGGGGCTTCCTCCCACCACCAGCATCACCCCCTTGGGGCCGCCACGAGCACCTCTCAGGGTCCACCCAGCCGCACCCACAGCTGGAGTTGGGGGGTCTGGGCCACCTGATTCCAGGGCTGCGCCAGGGTGCCAGGGAGGGTCCCCCGACAGAGGCAGGGCCAGCTGCGTGAGATCCACGGCCCCTCTCCTGCGGGACCTTCTGCTCCCCGCCCTCATGAAAGTGGCCCCTCTCTCCAGATCCCCAGCGGAGCTGAGTCTATTGCCACGTCCTCAGGGGCCATCCACACAGGGGCCTGCTGGGCCCAAAGGGCCTGACCGATGGCCAGTGAGGCCTGTCTCTGGGGAGGCCCAGAGGGCTTGATGCCTTTCTTGTTTTACAAGCAAAACGTGGACACCTTGAGGGATTTAAAATGTAAGGGCTCAGCGGGCTAGTAAAGCTGGGGGACTGGGCAGATGGCAGGCCGTCCTGTCAAGGCCGTGGGCCATGGGTCTCTGGCTCTGCTTTGTCACCTTTTATCCTACTGAATATTGTATGAGCACTTCCCCCTGAAAAGGGTTTTTTGTTCTGTGCCATTTGACCCATTCCTGGCTTTAGTCCCCACAACACTTTGAATCAATGTTTCAGCAGAAAACGTCCTTGGAAGAGTAAGACAACTAGAGACCGGATGGGGGCCATGCCAGCCAAGGCAGGGTGCGGGGCAGACCCCCTCCACCTGGCCCTGCCCTAGACGTGTGCGGCCGTCCCTGCTCGCTTGTGCCCGCCCTGCCCCCACACTCTGCACTTGAGCTGCAGCCACCATTAGTCATCGGTTCCTGGCACTGGGAACTTCTCCAGGGGCCTGGAGCTCGCTCACCTCAGCTCAGCAGCTCCGTACCGCCCTTCGACCAGAGAGGGGCAGGTGGAGGAGGGGGTGAGCGTGGCCGTCCCCAGAGGGGACATGGACGGGTCCCGAAGCAGGGTGACAGACATCTCAGAGAGCTGTGAAGAAGAGTGAGCCTTTTGTAGGTCATACCCCAGCAGGGGCTAATTCCTCTACCTCGGCTCACATTTTACCTCCATTAGGGCACCCCCCATCCCAACTGCAGGCCAGACCCTCTTCCCAGCCTCCCCCGAACCTCTCCCAGCCCCACACACCCCGGCCTGCTCTTCCCTGCGCTGCGGGCTGTCTTGCCTCAGGAGGGATTTGTGACCGCTAGGCTCCAAAGAGCGAGCAAGGACCACAGTGGGGTCAGGAAGGCTCTGCCAAGGTGCAGGCTCTGAGCCCCGACTATATCCTGGGCAGCCCGGGAGCTGTGGTGAGAGGCCCTTCCAGGCAGAGAGGGAGGCTAGTGCAAAGGAGGAAGGCGGGACGCGGCAGGCCGTGGGACAAAGATGAAGACCGGTGATGGGCCAGAGGCTGCAAGGAGGCTGTGCACGGCAAGCCCTGCGCCAGGGTGGGTGGGGGAGGCACAGGAACGGCCCCCCGGTAGAGGAAGGACAGCTCCGGGGACGCAGCATGAGCAGCCCAGGACAGAGGCAGCGGAGTGAGGGCCAGGTGGAGGGAGCAGGGAGGGGACTGGGTGGGCCTGGCCTCGACTGGCCCCGACTGGCCCCGAAGGCCCCAGCACTCCACGGACCCCACACACAGACCCGGCTCCTGGCCTTGGCTATGCGGTGTTCCTTTAGGCTGTGACGGTATGTTTCTAAGAAAACCCTGATTTCCTTCCCTGAATAGGGGTGCAGAGTTTTCTTGGTGACAAGAGCCCCGCAGGGGCCCCTCGCTGCCCACCTTGCTCTCACTGGCACTGATGCAGACGTGATTGTGGGTGTACTCTCTGTTGAACGTGTGCGTGAGGAGGCGTAAGCACTGCAACGAGAGCAAACATCCGGTCAGGAAGTGCCTAGGACCTGGCTTGGCCACAGGCACGGCCCCTGGGTGTGGAGGACTGGCTGAGGGCCCGGGCTCAGCAGCTCAAGGTAGGCAGCAGCTCCATCCTCCAAGGTGATGGGTGAGCCAGGGAAACCTCTGGGAGCAGGCCCCGGGCCCAGGGCAAAGATAGGGGGGCAGCATTGCCCAGTCTAAGAGATCTTCCCAGTGGCCCGTTGAGCCACAGAAAGAGCCAGCTCTGGATAGAGGGGGTGAGCTCCCCATCAGCACAGGTATTCAAGGAAGCAGATCACTGCTTGGGGGAGGAAGCTGTAAAAGGCTGCCAAATCCGATTGTGGGTGGAGTGAGGGGCAGGCAAGGGGCCTCTGTGGACCCCTCGTTCCCCCCTCCTGCTCTGATAGGACAAGGCTGGGTCACCAGAGCCCTGGAGGGGCCGGGGTCAGTGCAGTGCTGCCTGAGCTACCTTGACGGCTAGCTCCCGCTGTCTCTCGCTGGGGGCCTCCGGAGGGGACGGCCGGCCCTCGGCTGAGAGCGGGGAGCAGGGGCTGGACGAGCCGTGGGACGCGGAGTCCTCGCTGGAGGCGGGGGACGGCGCCTCGGGGCCGGGCCGCTGGCTGGTCTCCAGCTTCTCTCGCAGAAGGAGGTAGTGTCTGGTCTTCTCCACCTGCACGAGGGACAGGACGCACTCGGCCGCTGCGCCCCAGGGCGCCGGGACCCGGGAGAGCCCACCCACCGCTCCCCTGGCCGCGCTGCGGACGCGACTGGGCCTGGAGGCCCCCCGGCCGCCGCCGAGGCGGAGCGGGGTGCCCTCCGTCCTGCGTCTGCGGCCCCAGCGCCCGTGCACTGAGCGGACGGACACTCCCGCTCCTGCCGCAGCTGCCTCCCAGCACCCTGCTTCCCAGCGCACCTGCCGCCTGGGCCGTCCGTGCCCGCTGCGTGCAAGCTCACCTCCTGCAGCAGACTCAGCTTCTCCAGCTCCCACTGGTGGTCCAGGATGAGGCTGTCACTCCGGGGCCTCCAGCCCGCCAGGTTCTCCTCGCCGCGGACGTAGGCCACAGATGTATCGAGCACTCGCCTTCGCCGCCGCTGCATCCCTAGAAAGGGGACCCTGGGCTGGCCACATCCCTGCCCTGGCACCAGGCCCTGGGCTCAGGGTGGGGACTTTTCCACGGAGGGAGGCTGGTCCCCCCGGGGAGCGCCTCGCCCACAGGAAGTCATCCAGCACGGTGGATGAGGCCACCCCCAGCGCTGCCTCTCCCCTCACTGTCCTCTGGCCTCTCGGGACAACCCCGCAGATCCACACATGAGCACGTGGGTCCCGAAAGGGAGGGCCCCCCAAAACAGCAGCTTGGCTGAGCCGACCTGAGTGACCCCAGGGAAACCTGGCTCCCTGACAAAGTGCCGCCCCCAGCAGAGAGAGCAGGGCAGAGGCCTACCTGGGCTGCCGGCATCGGCAACGTGGCACAGACTGAGCTCATAGATGCCCGTCACGCGGTTGCTGCAGGAAGCAGAGGGGAGACGTGGGACACTAGGCACAGCAAGGGCCTGTCAAAGGCACGTTGGGCACGGTCCCACTGCACACCCATGCCAGTGGCCTGGCGTGGGGGGCCCTGAGCTGCAGCCCTGACCCCTCCGGGCCCCCTTTGGTTGAGCGCACACAGCCAACCTTGTCATGGAGGTGGGCCCAGCCGGCAGGCAGTCGCCCATGCTCACCACGTGACCCCGGATGCCTGGGTCATAGCCAGCCAGGCCGCCACGTCCTGAACCCCACACTCCGTCTTCCTGTTTGTGCCCCGAGTGTCCTGCACACTGGGGTCCACGAGACCGTGTGGGGAGCCTCACTGAAGGTGAACGTAGGTGGCTTAGCCCCGGGCCTGACATTCTACTCCCTTGGGTGCTACCAGCGTCCAAGAGGCAAGAGGCTCTGTCCAGAGCGTGCTTTTCCCATCCCAGGCCCCCGGTCCTGCTGGCATGATCCCTGAGGTCCCTGGGGAGGAGGTCTCTCAGCCATGGGGACGGAGTAGGGCCCCAGGACCACTGACAGGAGGGCGCCAGGGCAGGGGACTGATTGGGAGAGTGGCCAGTCTGCCTTCTCATCCGGGCTGGCCTGCAGCAGGCCTGTCACTCGAGCCTCTGCTGGACACTCCCCGCCACTCCCCATGCAGAGTCCAGACAGCAGCACCCCCCACCCCCCGCCGTGGGCAGGCTCACCTCTCCCAGTCATTCCCTGTGCAGCCCCCCGCCGCCCCCACCCGCAGGCTCACCTCTCCGAGGCCCGCAGGCTCCCACTGCCAAACAGGTTGCGGATAGAGCGTGAAGCAGGTAGCTTGGCATCCCGAGAGTAAAAGACCATGCAGAAGTCCTTGGTGATGATGGCTGGCTGGGTGCAGTTCTCCATCTGCCATGGGGGGCAGGGGTGGGGCTCAGGCACATGAGCACCCCCACAGGACCCGGGCCCTAGACCCCCTTCTAACCACCGATCGGCAGCCTCAGACCTTTCTGGGCCCCTGGCATGGCCCCAGACCCAGGTGGGAGGTCTCGGCTCCCCCTGTTGACTCCTGGGGGAGAGTCAGGGCCCCACCTCCCGGGTTGCAGAGGGCCAGGGGTTGGTGCCTGGGACCCCGAGGATCCCAGACACGGGTCCCAGCTGCCTCTCCATGGGATCAGGAGACACCCTCCTGGAAACATCAGTGAGAATGGAAGCAGTTCCTGGCTCTGCACCCGCATTCTCCTCTCCGTGACTTCCCAGGGCGCTGACGGGCTGTGTCTTACACAGCTGGCTCTTTTGTTTTCCCGAAGCTCAACAGCACCCCGACAAAGCCTGTGTGTGCCGGGGCCTTACTGGGTCAGAGCCCTGGCAGAGTCTCCCCAACAAACCACCATCCCAAGAGGCAGTCAAGTGGGTCCCCATATCACAGCTGGAGTTTTAGGCTCGGAGAGGAGGTGGGTGCCTTTGCCGTCCCTGTGCCCCCGGCTGCCTACCCCGAACCTCCTAATGCCTCGATATTGCACCCAGCTAGCAATGCCCGTGCTCCCAGCCTCCCCCAGAGCTTCGAAGGGAAGGTACAGCCCAAGACCCCAGGGTGGGGTCAGCAGGCTTCTGTTTTCAGCCTGTCTGAAGCCTGGGTGCAGCCATCCCGCAGCCCAAGGGCAAAACCGCACCCTGAAGTTAGTGGGATGGGAGGTGGGTGCTGTGAGCAGTGCCCTGGAAAGTACGGGGATTGAACAAGGACTTGACAAGTCCTCTGAGAAGACAGTAGGGTCATCTGGGGCTATCCGGGGCCACCGAGCACCCTCACTGCCCCATGGCAAGCAGCTCAGGCTTGGGGGATGGTGGCTTTGGGGGTTTCTCACCTCGATGTAAGCTGAGAGAGTCATGTAGATCTTCTCTCGGTACGGGGTGACCCGGTTGAGCAGGAGAGAGTTGTGCATGGAGCTGTCCCACGCAGCCTCGAACTGGTAGAAGGTCCTGGAAGGAAGTGGAGACAAGGTAAAACATGACAGCACGTGGGCCGCGCTCGTAGACTGGGGACATGCAGACGGACAGACACGGACAGAGACGTGTGGGCCACCGCGGGGAGAGCTGCCTGGGCGGTGTGGAGAACAGGCTCCTCCTTACTCGGGCTGGGGGGGACGGGCTCCCCTGTGCATGGACGGGTGGGGCAGCCCACAGCGCAGGCGCTGAGGCAGGAGTGGGAGAGGGAGCAGAGAAGGGAGGGAGGGAGGCTAGCGGGCTGGGACATGGCAACAAAGGGGAAGAGAGAGAGGGAGGAGAGGGGAGGTGGAGGCAGACCGAGAGGTGAGAGAAGGGGAGAGGGCAGAACGGGGACCGCCCCCTCCTGCCCTGTCTGAGTAAGGAGGGGCCAACCTGCCCGGGTTTGCCAAAACCCTCTGTGGCCCATCTCCTCCCCTTGGGGGAGGATGCTTGGAGTGGAAGCCGGGGCGGCCCATGGCAGACAGCGTCGCCCCCCGCCCCCCACCCCCCGCAGCCAGGCTCCTCTCCATTCCGCTCCAAGCAGACGTCCCCTGTCTCCATCTCTAACCCGGGAAGAAAGTGAGCAGAGCAGAAGCCCGTGGCCCAGAATCCCTTCTGAGGGCAGTTTAAGCCGTCCCTAGGAGGCCAGGATGTTAGTCCGAGTGGCCTCCGCAGTGGCACAGGCTTTCCTTGTCAACCACCGACTCTTGCTTAGGCTGGGTGCGCCTCAGAGGATCTTATGTGAGGTGGGGAATTTGCCTCGATCCACAGTGTGGCCGCTGGGCCACCCGGGCAGCACCACTCAGCACCCAGCTGTGCCCCGTTTCCGTCCAAGCATCCTCGAAGACACGGCTGAGACACAGGTCAGCACCGGCTGCCGGCAGCTGCGCGACCCCGGCGCGGCCAGGCCCCTCCCGAGAGTGTGGGGCCGCCAGGAGGGACGAGGCCACGCGGGGCGCGGCCTCCCGGCTCTCCAGGGCACGCTCCGGGGACACGGGGTGAAGCGGCGGGACGGGGCAGGGCTGCTGTTACGAACACGTCACCAAGGACAAGGGTCCAGAGGAAGGGCTGTGAGGACAGCGGGGTGACCAGACTGGCAGAGAGCGCAGGAGAAAGGAAACTGAGCAGCAGAAGAGGACAGACCAAGCGAGTGCGGAAGAGAAAGTGAGCTGTACCTAGTGTCATTTCCGAATGAAACGCTAAAGGTGGAGGCAGCCAGGACACACACGTACACACAGAAGAGATGGACATGTCAGAACGAGCACCGTCACGCGGCCGGGTACAAGCTAACCGACAGTGAGCTGGGTGTCCGCCGGCCACCCGGGCGGCTCGTGGGGCGGTGGCTGGGGCCCCCTCTGACCCCCGGCCCCCACGGCTGCAGCCAGAGCTCTGGGTCCATGCCCAGAGGACCAGGCGGGTACCCATGGGATCATTACCGACCCCTGGAGGGACGCCCTCCGTCCCAGGGGCCCCCACGCGCTCCGGGCCCTGTGGGCCAGGCCTGTGGGCAGAGCCAGAGGTCCGCCGTAGCCCGGGCTGGACGCGTGCGGCTACACAGCCTCGTGACCTCGGCTGTCACCAGACACCTCTGTACCCTGCTTCCCGGACGAGCCGCTGGCGGTCACTGCCCTGCCTCATGGAGATGTCTTGCTGGTTGCAGGAGCTAGTGCTGAGGGCCGGGCAGGTGGCACTAGTCTTACTAACTCTTGTTACTAGTCCTCGCCTCGAAGAGGCCCTGACCACACACTGGGGAAATCTAGCCTGAGGGTCTCCTACCCTGGTCGGCCAGCCAGCCCCAGACCCTCCAGCCTGGCCCAGAGGCTCAGCTCGCTGCCGTCCCCTCTGTCCACCTGCCTCACGTGTCGCTGAAGGAGGCTACTGTCTTCCGGCCCACCGCTAGCGCCCTGGGGTCCAGCAGGGCCCTCCTGCACCAACGTGTGCTCTGTGTGTGGCCTCCAGGACGAACTGGCCCCTCCCAGGGCAGGCTGCTACTCAGACACCAAGGGCTGGGTCCCCATCTCGCCTGGAGCCCTCACCCGTGCCTGGGACACACCAAAGGAGCCAGCCCAGTGAGGCCAGCCAAAACCCCAGGGGCCTTGCCCCAGGGCCAGATGGACTCTGCCAGAACTGGCCGGGCCGTAGGAGAAATGAGCCCACCTCCACGCGAGGCTCACTCACCGAGGCCCCTCGGAGATGCTCTTGGCCAAGAGGCCCTCAGTCGAGTTAAGATGTGGGTTTTGGGGCGCCTGGGTGGCTCAGTCGGTTAAGCGACTGCCTTCGGCTCAGGTCATGATCCTGGAGTCCCGGGATCGAGTCCCGCATCAGGCTCCCTGCTCGGCGGGGAGTCTGCTTCTCCCTCTGACCCTCCCCCCTCTCATGCTCTCTGTCTCTCATTCTCTCGCTCTCAAATAAATAAATAAATAAATCTTTAAAAAAAAAGTCGGTTTTGCTCTGAGACTCCAGTGACCCCAAATCTCTCTGAAAACTTGAACCTGTGGGTCTCACATGTGAGGGGGGGTAGGGTGGTGGGTGGGGGCCCCTTGGGCCCATGTCCACAGCCTAGGATGGCGCCTTCCACTGTGCCGTTCCCCAGGTGCCAAGATGGCCAGGGTCTGACCTGGCACAGCCATGATGCTGCCCACAGCTTGTTTCCGAACCACTGGTCAGCCCTGAACCCCAGGCAGCCTCTTGCGGAACAGCCCTTGGCCTACAGCCAGCCATGCCTCCACACGGTCAAGGGCGCCAGATCCTGGAGCCCCAGGCTGGAAGGGTCCTCAACAACACTCCTGAGCCCCTGAAGCCTCTGCAGAGGGAGGGTTCACCGGATGCCAGCAGGTACGCCTGGGATGGGGAGGGGTGGCGGAGTGGCAGCTCGCCTGCATGAGACCTACACAGCCACGGAGGGTGCTGAGCCCACGGGACATAGCCCGGGACCACTGATCGCTGCCCCCTGGTCACCCAGAGAGCCAGAGAGGGAGCCAGGGGTACCACACCAGGACCCCCACTCGTGAGCAAGCACAGGACTCTCGGGATCTCTCTGGGATCAGATCACCCCAGGAAGGGAGCACCCTCACTCTAACCCCACTGGACACCCAGCCAGTCCCTCAGATACAACTCTAAGGGGAAACGTGCAGGCCAGACGTGGGGTCCCTGGACCCGAAGTGGCAGCACCACTTGGGAACACTGCGGATTCTCAGACCCCACCCCAGACCCACTGAGGCAGAAATACTAGGGTGGGACCACCTTGTGAGCAGAGCACCTGAGCTCATGCTGGTGCTTCACCACAGTCCTGGCCCACCCCACCATCCTGCAGACTTTTCAGATCCAGACCCCCGTCAGGCCGGGACCCGAGTGTCCCTCTTCCAGGGAGGCCCTATCACAGCTCGCAGTCCTTAGCCCTTCTCTGGGACTCCCTGCAGCTGGTAGGGCATGCCTTTCCCTGTGGCAGAGCCCTAGGGGTTCCTGCAGGCCCCCCCTTCTGGAAGAAAAATGCCCTCCTGCACAATTCCCTCTGCAGAAGACTGCGGGGCTCAGGAGGGAGGCACCTCTCCCCCGAGCCACCTCCAGGAGCTGTCAGCCAACATCTTGCCTCTGACCAGCTGGGGCGGGTGGGGAGGCCTGTGCTGACTCCCCCCAGTCACAGGGCGTGGGCCGCAGGAGCCCAGAAACAGGACCACCCCCAACTCAGCTCTGGGACATAGAACTTGATCCTCAAACAAGTGAGGACCCACGTGGGGAAAACTGAAAACGCTTTAAAAAGTTTTGTTGACAAAGAAAATGTCATAGGCTGTAAAATGATTTTTCCATGTCGATTCTTGCTCAGAAATCTTCAGTGGCCACCCCAGCCACAAAAGTGGCGGGCATTTCGTGTCCCCTCGGATTATGACACGGGAGCCCCCGTGTTTGCCCGGCCTGATCTAACGGGCTGTGCGCCTGCACGTGTCCCCACAGAGCTCAGGTGGGGTCGGTCCTCGTCTCAGCCGGCTGCCAGGTAGGGGCAGAGGGTCGCCCCCCCGATGCGCGGCGCCCGGCCGTTCCGCACTGGACCTGACACGCCGGCCGCACACGGCCTTCAGTGCGCTTCAGACAGCTGTGAGGTGACTTGTACCCGGTGCTTGTGACGAGAGTCACAGCCACGGCGGGTTAGCGGGTGGGCAAGGCGGGCATCCTGGGGCAAACGGGTGTGTTGAGAATCTGAAAATTCAACCCTGTGCTCAGCATGATCCCACAGCTAAGAGCAGGGGAGTGGGATTCCGCGGTGCCTGTTGCGGACCCGTGCGTGGCTTGGCGGCATCACCCACCGTGCCACTCTAGAGTCGTCAGACCAGAGGGAACGGAGAAATGATAAGAGGATTAAGGGGCTGAGGAGGTGAGGAGGTGAGAGAAGGAGGGGGTGAGGGAATAAGGGATAAAGGGGTGAGGGATGAGAGAGAAAGGGGTGAGGGGTGAAGCGATAAAGGGACGGGGTGAAGGGATGAGGGATAAAGAGGAGGGATATGGGGTGAGGTGAGGGGATGGGAGGATGAGGGGTCAGGAGGCGAGGGAGTGAAGGGTGAGGGTGAGTGGCTAGGAGTGAGGAGGCGAGGGGATGAGGTACGTGGCTAGTGGTGAGGGTAAGGACTGACAGGTGAGGGGTGAGGGGAGAACGAGCCCAGGACCTGCGTTTATACAGCTGTGTGCAGCCGCCCAGCTGAGAGCCTTTCATTATCTCATTTCTGTCACAGCATCTTCAAGCAGGAGCTAAATTATTTCCTTTCTGAGGGGGGAGGAAAACGAGGTTCCAGAAGCTTCTGCCACCTGTTCACACTCACACAGCTAGCCAAGGGCACGGCCAGCCAGGGCACGGCCAGGCTGCCCCAGGTCCCTGCCCCACTCCGCACATCTGGGACAAGACACTCCCTGCGCCACACCCCACCGTCCGCTAGTTCTCGGGACCGCCCCCACTGTGGCTCCCTGCCCCACAGGGCTGGGCCCCGTGAAGGGGGCTTGGGGCTCTGACCCCCATTTCCTCTCAGTGCCCTGGGCCTCCTCTTTCGGGCCAAGCCCGCTGGGGCCAATGAGCCCTCATCGGGAACTGGGGGTCTGGGCTCCCTGCTCAGGTGCAGGGGTGAGGGCCTCATGAAGTTGGGGTGCTGAAAAGGAAAACTGGTGCCCATTCCTTCCCTGGTGCCTCTTCCTGGCCACGCGGAATCGTCCCTACTTTACCCAGGAGCTTCCTGGAGGCATGTGTTGCGGGTGAGGCGGGGGCCTGAGGACCAGTGAGCACCCCTCTATCCTACTGAGCTGGCTGTGGAAATGCAAACTCGAGCAAAACATCCACACACCCCCGAGCAATGACACTGGGGTCTGGAGGCTTCCACTCATCAAGGAAACAACCCTTGTCGTGGGTCCTGTCCAGCGGATGCATCCGAGCAAGGGGCTCCCAGCCCAGAGCCTTCTGAGAGCAGGACCCAGCCAGCCCAGCTCCCTGCCAGGCCTCCTCCAGCAAGCCAGCCCCACTGTCCAGAGTGGCAGGTCCCTGCTCTGGGCCTGTATGGCTGTGCCCCCTGTTTGGGAGCGGCCACCTCCACCCATGTTCCCTTGACAGGGACCCCAGGGACGGGGAGCAGTAGTCTCTGGAAACACGAGCCTGGCACATAGGTGCATACACGTGCTTGCCTTCGGGGTCACACCAGCAGGAGCCACAGCCTGCTGCCGCCCCGTGGGGCCCAGGGCCCATTCACAGTGGCTCAGACAATCCTGTCGTGCCCCCACCCCACCCTGGGGCTCCTTCCACAGAAGGAGCAGGCCCCACCCCTGCCCCACTCCAGGCAGCTTAAAGGCTCAAACATCTGCTGGAAACCTTCTGAACGCTCACTTCATCTTTCCAAACAGCTGTCCTAGAGGACCAACGCCACGGAGCTCTGACCACAATCCACCTGACCCAGAAGGAGATGACCCTGACCCTCTGCTCAGAACAGAGTCTCACCGACGGTCTTCATTAGGCACTTCGAGGCTGTCCACACCCGGGGCCTCACTGACCCTTGCATCCAGCAGACACGGGCAGGGTCCCCACTCAAGTCGGGGAAGCAGTCCCCTGCCCAGGAGCCCCTGCCTCCGGGGCATTGGACCTGGGACTACCCCAGTGAGTCCAGAGACCTACTGGGCCCTTCACAACTTTACTGCCCACCTACTTCCATAAAGGGTGTGTGGTGGCCAAGGCCAAGAGCACAGCTGGAGCCCCCATCCCGGCCAGGCGAGGGGCTGACACTCAGGGTTGGAAGGTGCAGAGCGTGGAGGTTCCCTGGCATGGCTGATTCTCGTCTGCCCTCCCGTCCTGGGCCCACCACAGCCCCTCCCTCCCTCTTTTCTCTTTCACCTTACAGGGAGTGGGGCTGGTGCAGCCAAAGGCAGCCTGGCTGGCCAGCCTGCATACAGGAGCACCTGCTCCCACTCGGGCGGGGACGGGGTCAGCGCGGGGCGGGCAAGGCTCGGGGCAGGAGCAGGAGGCCAGCCAGTGTCTCCGGAGGGGCAGGAAACTATCAGAGCAGCCAAAATCAAGAGTACGGGCAGAAGGGGCTCAGCCAAGAGGGAAGGGTGGGGATGGGAGAGGAAGCAACAAAAAAAATTAAAAAAGTATTCCAAGGAAATAAAACTAAAGAAGATGGAGAAACAGGAGGGAAGGGGGAGCGAGTGTAGAAGAAATCCAAAAAGCTGAAATTAAATGTCAGGGCTGTGGGACTGGGGAAGGAGAGAGGCTGAAATAAAACCAAGGGGCACAAATGATACCTAGGCATGTCCGAATCAAGAAACTGCCTGCAAAACACAAACAATTACAGGTTAGTGAGGGCGGCGGGGCAGGGGGGCGGGGCGACGGGCGGCAGGGCAGCGGGGGTGGCAGGGCGGCGGCAGCGAGGGGAGGGGCAGCGCGGAGAGAAGCTGTCCGTGGCGACAGGCCCACTCTGAGCTGGGGAGGCCGCAAAGCACGGGGCCTTGGAGCAGGAGGAGGTGAGGCGTGGCAAAGCGTGTGGACAGCTCGCACCCCTCAGCCCAAGCCAGGCCTGGGGTCTCTGAGCCTCAGCGTCTCTCGGGGGGAGAAGGGCCCACCCAAGCGGCCCATTACAGGGCTCCCAGGACATCAGCCAGGGTCCGGGAAGAGGAAGGTCCTGGGGAGGCGGAGCCTGCTGGCTTGGCCTGCCAAGCCTTAGAATGGCTCCTGCCAGGGGCCACCAGGTGGGGAAGGTCCCCAAGATTTTCCTGGGGCAAGGCTGGGGGTGTCGGAGCTGTGCTGGGGCTGTACCACCATGGGCGGGAGCCAAGCCTGAGGCCAAAGCAGCTATGGGGAAGGTCTATGGTCCTGCCCCACGGACCGGCCTTCCTCTACCCTTGGCCCAGGGCAGCCTTGACTTCAGACACAGGGCTGACTGACCCCAGAGCTGCCCTGAGGCCAGCCTCACTTCCCACAGTCCCCAGGATGAAGAACCAAAGCCCCGTCAGTGATGGGGCCTCAGGCCTCTCAGAACAGGGGTGGACCTGCTTAGCCAAAGCCTTGCTGAACCGGGTTCCAGCCAGGAGCCAGAGCCTCCTAAGCTACCCGGGACTCAGCCCAGAGCCGAGGCCCCCACGGGTCTCCCCAGCAGCTGGGCTGGTGGGACAAAGGGAAGACTCAGAGACACGGTCCTCCGTGTAGGGAGACCACACGGGGCAGGAGGTTCGGAAGGAAAATACCCACCCCCACTCCCTTTCTGCCCCAAGAATCTAGCAGTTGCCAGGGCAAAGGAAGGGTCTGAGGCAGGGGGAATGCTGAGCTCACTCAGCAGGCAGATCCCTTCCAGGGCCACCCTCCACTCTGGGGTCCCAGGCCCCACATCCCTGCAGGCAGCTCCCGTGTGGGTGGGCGCCAGGCCTCCTCTGGTGCATTCTTGTGGTCAGAGGAGCCCCTGAGCTGGCTCACCCCACGGTGCCCCCCAGCTTCCCATTCTGCCAGGTGGAACCCCAGCCTGCTCATCATAGTGACACCTCCACGTGAGACACCTCCCAGCATGCTGCACCCCAACTCCTCCCTCCCCGGGACACAGGAGTGCAGGGGACGTTCTGGAAGGTTTCTGGGCAGAGCTGGAACCAGAGTCACAGCTGCCCCTCGCGGGGTCTCTGACTGCTGGCCCCCAGATGCCCACACGGGGAGATGCTTCCCTTAGAGCCTACTCCGCAGGGTGTCCATGACAAAGCCAGGCTCCGCCGGGGCCCAGGAGTCAGAAGGACAGGACCTGATGCCCCAGGACCCTTTACCCTTATGGGTCTTAGCTTTCCTTGCAAATGCGGGGTCCCCCGGTCCCCTTCAAGCATACCCAGCCCTCAAAGATGTTTTTTCCTGTGCACACCGCCACAGGAACCCGTGAAGACAGCCAGAGCGTGAGCTCCAAGGGTCAGCTCTCAGCGTCTGCCTCCAGACGTCTGCCCTTGGGAGAGCCGTCCAGGACCCTGGAACACTCTCGTCATTTCCCCAAGCCCCTGGAGAGCAGCATCTCAGAACAGCCAAGTCCACGTCCCCACCAAGAGGGCAGCTCTCGGCAGTTACGAGCTGCCCACCCCCCGTCGGTCCCCAGATGCCACCCCTCACACCCCGCCCCCACCCCTGGCAAACCCCAGCAAGGCTGGTTTGTCAGGGGCAGCCAGGGCATCCCCAGGGGGCTTGCACACCCTGCCCACTGCCCAGGTGCGGTGGAGCTGAACTGCCCCGGCTGCCAGGTTTTGGCCATTAACAGCAAGCTGGAAAAGGAGCAGCCCAGTGACAAGGAGCACATGCCAAGGAGTGCCTAGAGGGCACGCCTCCACCCTGGAGGCTGAGCCGCTGACCCGTGCGCCCCAGAACCTCCTCCAGGACCCCCAGCCCGAGGCCCAGACCACCCACAGCAGTGTGGCTGGGGACATTCGGGCCTGCTTGTCTGCCCACAAACCCTGCTGTCCCCCCCCCGAAACTCCTGAGGACAGAACCCAGCTCATCCATCCTCAACTCCCACTCCCCTCCGCCAGGTGACCAAATGAACAGGCTGGATGAATGTGTGAGCCAGTGATGGGACAACGTGCAGACAAACACACCAAGGGGCCTGGAGGCCACGAGCCTCCCTTCCTGGCACCTGTCCTGGAGGTGTCAGAAAGGAAGGCCTGAAAGTTTTGAGGCTGGACACATCCTAGACCTTACAAAGCCAGGTGGGCTACGGGCATGGCGGGCTGAGGACACAGCCCAGGTCCTGGCCTGGACCCTGTCTTCAGGGAGCTGGGAACAGAGCCCACTGCCACCCGGAGGGGACTCACCGGTCGTCCTGGGCCGGGTGGATGTAATCGGAGGACAGGATGTTAAGAGACAAGATGTTGGGGTCGATCAGGGACTCATCGGTTTCTGGTGTGTTTCGGATCCGACCTACAGGAAAGACCACAGTGCAGTCACCTTCCAGGAGGACAGGTGGGGGTGCTGGGTCTCTGCCTGGGCTGGAGCTCCAGAACGTGAGGCCACATCAGGGAACCGACTCCCCCGTGCCCACAAGAGCACCAGACAGGGAGGCCGTGGCAGCGTCTCTGCCAGCCCGGGCGTCGGCACTCAGCGGACCACCCTGGCATCGTTCCTCCTGCAATCTCAGTTTCTAGTTTCTCAGCCATAAATAACTCTCTCTCAATGTCCATCTCTCGCGCACCCAAGTGATAGGTTCTAACCACCCAGCCTAGAATGCACAGGCCCTTGTTGGGAAAGGAAATCTTACCAAGATAAGGAGAAATGTTCCCTCTTCTTTTTATACTAGAAGGAAGGGGGAAGGAAGGAAGGAAGGAAGAAGGAGGAAGGAGAGAGGGAGGGAGGGAGGGAGGGAAGGAGGGAGGGAGGGAGGAAGGGAGGGAGGAAAAAGGAAAGAGGAAGGAAGGAAGGAAGAAGGAGGAAGGAGAGAGGGAGGGAGGGAGGAAAAAAGGAAAGAGGAAGGAAGGAAGGAGGAAGGAAGGAAAAAGGAGGAAAGAGAGAGGGAAGGAGGGAGGGAGGGAGGGAGGGAGGGAGGGAGGGAGGAAAGAACGAAGGAAAGAAGGAAGGGAGGGAGGGAGGAAGAAGAAGGAAAGAGAGACGGAGGGAGGGAGGAAGGGAAGGAGGGAGGAAGGGAAGGAGGGAGGAAGGGAGGAAGGAAGGGAGGGAGGAAAAAAGGAAAGAGGAAGGAAGAAGGAAGGAAAGAAGGAGGAAGGAGAGAGGAAGGGAGGGAGGGAGGAGAGAGGGAGGGAGGAAGGAGGGAGGGAGGAAGGAGGAAGGAGAGAGAGAGGGAGGGAGGAAGGGAGGGGGGAAGAAGGAAGGAAGGAAGGAAGGAAGGAGAGAGGGAGGGAGGGAGGAAGGGAGGGAGGAGGAAGGAAGGAAGGAAGGAGAGAGGGAGGGAGGAAGGAGGAAGGAAGGAAAGGAGGAGGAAGGAGAGAGGGAGGGAGGGAGGGAGGAAGGGAGGGAGGAGGAAGGAAGGAAGGAGAGAGGGAGGGAGGAAGGAGGAAGGAGAGAAGGAGGGAGGGAAGGAGGAGGAAGGAAGGAAGGAAGGACCATCTGTGCCATAAATCTCTCTGCAGGGCACACTTCCAGCCGAGCCCCCTAACGCCCCTCCCTGGGGTGGCGGCTCCTGTCTGGGGAAGGCGCCATGACTGCTGTGAGTCAGGAATCCTGCTGGGGGCTTTGTGCATCGTTTCTTGCTGGTGGTGTTAGAGACCGGAACGCTCCGCTTCTTCAAGGAAGACACACACACTAAATTTTCTCCATCAAGCCATACAGGAAGCACTGGCCTCCCGTTCCCCATAGGCAGAGGTGAGGCAGAGCCCAGCACCCGGCCAGGATTGTGTCCACGCACACTGGAGCTGCCTGCCCCACCTCCTGGAAACTTCTTGCAACATTTGGGTTCTGGGAGAAGGCAGGTGTGGGCTCCCCCAAAAGTGCTCCCAGGGTGTGTCCCCCATGGCTGGAGGTGCAGTGCCCCGCAGCTCAGCTGTAGCAAGAAAGCTCGCTGCAGTGCCAGCCTCACCCCTCCTCGGCCCCTGGGGCACGTGCGTCAGCAGCGCTCTCTGCCCTTGCGGTGCGGCCAACGCGATGCCCGGGAGCCCCCGTCAGGCAGAGATGTCCCCTCGCAGGTCTGTTTGGTTTAGGAGGCCCAGAGAGGCAGAGCCCAAACCCCTCAACCTGCAGTGGGGCCTTGGAGTTCACAGCAGCTTCTCCCAGCCTCCTTTCAACAACACCCCTCCTCTGCCCACACATGGGACAAGCACTCCTGTCTGCATTTGGTCCGTGCGTTGGCTGGGTATGCGCTTCATCTTTTTCTTTAAGTCGATTCCATAACTTGCCCTAAACAGTATCTAAGATGAGGATTTGCTAGCTTGCTCCAGCCTTCTACGATTTGTGTGAAAATAGATACACAATGTCTAAAATAAAAGCACTTGTCCTGGGCCCCCAGAAGCTCAGGGTCCACAGTCCTGCACTTTGGGGCCCAGCACGATGAGTCTCCTGGTAGCGTCCCTGTGACTGCACCCTCAGGGCCCCCCTATGAGCCCCAGGGACAGCACCCTCCCGTGGCTGCCCTCCCGGCCACAGAAAGGCCCCGGAAGGGGCTTCCAGAAGGATCCATCAGCTCCAGGGCAGGGGAGGGATGGACGGTCGTCCATGCGCTTGAATGGAAGCTGGGAAGATGAACTTTTACGGCTTGGCAAAAGAAACATTTCTAGTGGACCAAAGAGCTCAGAGTGTGATGTCGTTGAAGGAAAATGTCAGGTCTGTGGTGACTGCTGTGAGCTGAACCGTGTGCCGCCCCCTCCCCCAAACAGGATGTGTTGTGGTGCCAGTCTCCAGGACCTCAGAAGGCGACTGTGTTTGGACTGGGGTCTTGGCAGACGTCATTAGCTGAGATGAGGTCACGCTGGAGTAGGTGGGCCCTAATCCAGGTCCTCCTAGGAAGTGGCCACGGGACGGGTCCCCACCCGAGGAGCACCAGAGAGTCCCCACAAACCAGCAGCGGCCAGAAGAAGCAAGGAAGGGCTGCCCCCACAGGCTTCAGAGGGCATGCGCCCTCAGCCTCAGGCCTGCGGGTCGTGGCAGGACCCATCTGTGCTGCTCGTGCCAGCGTGGGCCACCGGCACAGCGGCCCAGCAGGAACTGGGCATCGTCACCCTAGCCCAAGCTTCCCTCTCCAGGGGAGGGCCTGAGGCACAGAGAGGTTCCGTGACTTGGCCAAAGTCACACAGCAACAGGGGCAGAGCTGTGGGTAAACTCAGGCATCTGGCCTGGACAGGGCGTTGGTGGAGTGGGTGGGGTCCATGGTCTTCCCGCCAGCCCAGCCCCAGCCCCTAAGGCAGCCCTCACCCAGCTCACTCACCCACGACCAGCTCTCGAACTTCCTTCCAGCGGATGTGGCTGCCTGTCTCATGCAGCAGGGTCACGGTAATCCGTCTCTGGATGCCCTGCCAGCACCAGGAGAGAGGACGTGCTCAGATGGCCTGAGGGCCCCAGAGCGGGCAGGGCAGGGGCAGGGGCAGGGAGCACCTCGCACCTGGTGGAGCAGGAAGGTCCCCATGCACGGCATCCCGCCGCGGTGGTCCACCACTGCAGGAATGTAACTGCAAGAGAGAGATGCGAGAGGCTAGCCCCCGCCCCCCCCACCCCTGCGCTCCCCCACTCCTGTGCCCCCACACCCCTGTGCCCAGAGGAGCTGAATGGTGAGAACAGGGAAAACAGCCCGTCCCTGTGGCGGAGAGGAGGCGCTCCAGTCCATGGAGGCCAGAGTCAGTCGGGCAAGGAGACCCAGCGTGCACCACCTCGACCAGCCCCGGGGCCCCTGGGGATCCCTGTCCCCAGCAGGCATGGGGACTCACTCGCCGTTGGCCTCCAGCTCACAGATCTCGAAGTAGACCAGCAGGTCGTACTTGCAGTGACAGGGCCCGGGGCAGGGCCGCGCTAGCGTGCTGAGCTTGGTAGCAGGCACTGGGAGATGACAGGAGAGAGGCACCCATTGGTGGGAAACCATGCCTGCCACGTCCCGGCAGGGGCGGGACGCACCAGGGCAGCACGGGAACCTCGCCCCCCCAGGGGTGGACTCAGGAGAGCCCCAGGTACCTGGCTTGGACAGCGGCATGACCCTTGGGAAGTGGCGGCGCGAGGGCCTCAGGGGGCTGTGGAGAGACAGGTGGCTGCAGGTGGGGTCTCCGAGAGCCCGAGCTGGAGCTGGAGCCAAGGGCAGGGTCTGCAGGGGGAGCTCAAGGCGCTGTCTGCTCCAAGCCCCTGTCTGCCTCCCTGCCTCCCAGGGCCCAGGAAAGGCCCCAGGCTCAGGCCCTCACCAGCCTGGACAGGGGAGGAGGCCCCTGGGGAGCCCAGACCCTGCTGGGGCGGCCCCACGAACCCACGAGAACTGGGCGAGGTCTGACTCTGGTTCTCCGTCCAGGGGCTTCCAGGACAGAGCCTCCCTCGGCACCCCAAGGACAAGACGAGTCTCATGGGGCCAGATGCCCTCATGGCCTTTCTCTTTCTTCAACACCCTGGACGCCCTGCGTAGCTCCGGGGCCCGCAGGACAGCTGAGAGGGGGATGGAGGTGGCAAGAGGCTCCCGCCGCCCGAGAAGCCTCTCTGCGGTTCTCCCTGTGCTAGGTTGGGGGTGGGAACCGCAGAGGGGACACCCAGCCCACCCACAGAGCCCCTGGGAAGTCACAGGGGATGAGGGAGATGGAAGGATGTTCCCTCACTCTGCCTGGGGTCCAAGGACTCCGGGAGACCAGGATAGGTGGGCCCCTAGGGTGGCGTTCTCCATGGGCAGTGTGCCGCCCTGGCCATCCCCCCGCCCAGTCCCTGCTTCCCTGGCCCTAAGACTCAGCCCACAGACGCCCAGGTCAAGGTCCAGACAGCAATACTCTTTAAGAAACTCGCAGCTCAGTCCTGGAGGGACGTCTCTGACTTGCTCTGGGTCCTGCTGACCCTGGGTGACCGGCCGCCCCGTCCATGGGGAAGGTGGGCATCGGGAGGCCTGTCTGGAGCAGGGTGGCTTTGCTGGCAGGGAGGGGGAGAGGGCCCGCACCCTGGAGGGCAGCAGGGGCCTGCATCAGAAGATCTGGGAAGGGCCCTCCGACCTCCCCCAAGCCCGACCCAGGGCTGCTGACCTGAGCACGTCCTTGCAGAGGGGTGGGAATGGGTGCTGCTGGTAGTGGCCGAAGACCTCAAACACGATGGGCTGGCTCTTGATGTACTCGATGAAGGACTTGGTCACCTCCACCGCAATCTGGTGGGTGAGGAGCGCAGACAGGAGGGTGAGGCCACGCCACAGGAGAGGGGAAGGAGGGTCGCAGAGGTAAGTGCTCGGCCTCCCCGGAGAACCGGATTGGAGACCCTGACTGGGCCCGACCTCTGCCCACGAAGGGGTGATGCTCCTCCCTGGTCCTTCCAGCCACGCCTCCCCTCCTATCCCACAGCTGGGGGCCAGACCCCTGAGAGTGCCCTTTCAGAACACTGAGCTCGAGAGGGGACAAAGGGCAGGGGGCACCTCTGTGGCCTGCTGTGACCCTTCCTGGGCCCTTGCCCACTCACCGAGAGGTATAGGTTGAATTGTGCCCCCCCAACCCCCATTCCTATGTTGCAATTCTAACGCCCAGGACCCGTATTCAGAGAGAGGACCTTTATAGAGGTAATCCCAAGTTAGAATGAGGGCATCAGGGTGGCCCTAATCCAATGTGACTGGTCCTCATGAAAAGGGGAAATCAGGATGCAAAGATGGGCACAGAGGGATGACCCTGTGAGGACAGATGGAAGAGGACATCTGCCCGCCCAGCGGAGGCCTGGCATGGGGTCTCCCTCATGGTCTCCAAGGAACGACCCTACCCATGCTTTGATCTCAGGCTTCCAGCCTCCAGATCCGAGAGGCAGTTGCTTTGTTAAGGCCGCCCAGTGCGTGGGCTTTGTTCGGGGTGCCCAGGAAATGAATCCACTGAGCATGCACACCTTCACACCTGACCCTGCTTCCCCGGCTGAGAACCTGAGGCTCAGGATGGGCCGGTCTGGGGGGCCCTTCGAAGTGTGGGCCTCAGGACTGTTTGGGCCACGCACCCACAAGCCACACTGCCCAGGGTCCGTTTTACACTCCTCGGCGGGCACTCGAGGTCCCGCCACCTGGCGACTATCATCACGGCCAAGTGATGGCCACTGGCCGGCTAGCCCCGTTCTCCCGCCTCATGGAGTGACTCCACTCCAAAGCCCCTGCTCTCCTGAGAGCCTGGCTGGGGACATGCCCTGCCTGGGGCTTCCCTGACCTCTCCGGACTGTACCCGGGTAACCCAGGGCCCTCTGTGTGCCCTGCCTCTCTGCTTCTCCCCCAATACTGGCCAGCGCCATGCCGGGCACCCCAGACATCTCGTGTTCACATCTGCCCGAGGGTGCCCCCAGCCCCAGGCGTAAGCCCACCGAGGCCCCCACTGCCCAGTAACAGCCTACACGCCCCCACCTGGCACCCGAGGCCCCGTGCCCTCGCACCTGGGCCCTGCCCAGCTCACGGCTGGGACTCAGGATGGGGAGAAGATATCATGCACAGTGACTGCAGCTGGGCTCAGCTTTGGGGCAGCTGCGTAAAGTCAGAGCCCCGGGGGGGAAGGGGAGCTCTTAGGACGTACGTTTTGGACATGGTAGAAGCCGAGTGGGGGGCCCCTCCCCGTGTTCTTGAGGGGCTCCGTGGAGAAGGCCTCGTCATGGCGATGGATGAAGCTGTAAAGGGAGAGGAGATGCTCGCTGGGCACAGGGGCCATGGGGTGGGGACCCACAGACTGGCAGGGGTGCCCAGGCTACTAAGCACCCGCCCACTGTCCTGCAGCCACACGGGGCACTGGGGCTCACTTGAACTGGCAGAAGATGTCGGCGTATTCGGCAGAGATGCTGGATGCCTGCAGGACGGTCACCCGGAAGGTGAAGGTGCTGCCCAGGCGCAGATGGTCCAGGGCAGCGTCCAGGGGCCCGTCCAGGGGGGCTTTCTCGGGGCTGTCCAGGAGGAGGCTTTCTGGAGGCACGGCTGCTGGGAGCCAAGGGTGGAGCAACGTGGCAGGACCTCCAAGGGGTCCTAGAGCCCGGGGTCAGGTGAGAAGTCCACACAGCCTCCTCCCCCGGAAACGTCTTACAGCCTCCCTGGGGGACCCTGGGAGTGGGGGCTGAGCCAAGAGGGGGCAGGCCCTCTGGACTGCGGTGGGGCAGGTGTGGCCACCCACCTGAGCAAGTGTTGTTGTTGACCTCGTCGGCCGAGGGCCCAGCGTCCGCACCCTGGCCCTGACCTTCCACAATACGAAGCTCTTCCTGGGAGGTCCCAGAGCGGGACATCCCCACCACTGGGCAGGACTCAGACTGGAACTGAATGGGTTGGGGGCCAGAGTCAGAGGGTGTGGCTCAGGGCGAGGCCGCGACAGCCCACTGAGAACCCCGGAGCCAGGCCAGGGCCTTTGCGGGCCTGCATTCCAGACCTGCCCCTGCCTAGATAGGCACCCACCTCCCTCGGCCTCAGTTTCTTATGCTGCCGTGGCCGGAGTCGGCTGCAGAGGGGAAGGTGGGGAATGGCTCAGGTGGGGTGACGGGGGGCCTGGTGGGGACGGGGTAAGAAAGAGCCTTAAGAAGGAGAGTGGAGGAGCCTCTTGTGAGCTAAGCCCAGTATGGGGGCACCAAGCAGGACCCTCCCCCTCCCCCTCTCTCTGCCTGAGAGCAGAAAGGGGAGTGTAGGCGGAAAGCACCGTTTCCTTTGAGTGAGGACCCGGCAGGGGCAGCACCTTGTCCTTTGGCACTGAAGCAGGGCCAGCCCGGCACCTAACGGCATCGGGACTGTGAGGAGGGGCCCCTCTAGCTCTCCCTGGGGCGTCAGGGGAGGGCAAAGATGGAAACACAGTGTCCAGGAGAGCGAGCCCAAGAGAAGGGTTGCTGGGTGGGTGGGTGGAGGCATCCTGGTGTCTGGGGGCGCATGCAGCCAAGGGCCATGTGGGGGAAGCAGGGACAGACCCAGGGGAGGCCGTGATGAGGAGACAGACGGACCCCGTGGGTCAGGACAAGTCAGACATTGAGACACTGGGCAAGCCACAAGGCCTGGGGCCTGGGAAGAGAGGAACGAACCCCGGGAGGGCCCAGGGCCCACAGGGCAGGTCCCGAGCCTGGCGGGTTTGCCCGGGCCCTCGGCACAGCTGGCCCCTGGGATCGGACTGGAGGGCGGTCGTTGGTGTTGGGTGGCCAGGCCAACCCTTGTGCGTACCTTTTCAAAATGCTGGTCGTCGAAGGAGATTCTGGCGGTTCCTGACTGCCGGACGCCGGAGCCATAGTCAGGGGCCTCTTCATCAGCTGAAACGGGAACAGAGCCGACGGTCAGGGCCATGCTTGTCCCCCAGGAGGCTTTGGCAGAGCCAGTCTGAGCCACCAGGCAGGGGCAAGGCACAGGAACTGGGACAGGCTCTGACCTGGGACAGGGGATCCCCAACACTGCCAACCGCAGCTCCAGAACACCCAGGGCGCCGGCCCGGGCGCTCAGACCACCAGCCTGTGCCGCTCGGGGCCCGAGAAGGACCACCTCCTCAGCACGGCCAGCCCTGATGGGACCACAGACGCCACATCTCAAAACCAAACTATGACCCCTGCCCCTCCATTGAGTCCTGGCCACCGCCCACCCCCCAGATTTAGGTGTTCCAGCAGAGCCTCACTGGGCAGAGCCCACATCACAGGGTCCTCCTGGCTTCACCCCCAGAATCACAGCTGTCCCTCTGCCTCCACCCTTGCAGGCCCACACCATCTTCCATCTGGACCCTCAACAGCCCCCAAGCACCCCTCACTGAGCTCCCATACCTGCACCCCACACCCCCCACTCCCCTCCTTTTAGAGTCCTGTGGTTTCCCATTGTTTCCCACCCCTTGTCCTGCTACCCCAGGGACCGCCCCCAGACCTAGCTTCTGTCCCCTCCCCGACCCTGATTCCAACCATTCTGGCTACACCCCACCCTGGGAGGCCTCTAGGACCATCCAGGGGCTCCAACCTCCTCTTCTGGGGCCCCCAGGGGGGACAAACCCTGCTGTGCTCTTGACCCCAGCCATTCAAGGGCCCGGGGCTGGCCCAGGACCAGAGCACTGCAGAGCTCGGTGCTTAGGGGTCCAACAAGTGGACACTCGCAGGGCGGGTGGGACTTCTGTGACCACTGGAGCTTTTTGAAGTTGCAGCTTCTCCATCATAGCATTAGACAGGGAGTGTCAAGTGTGTCCAAATACAGACCGTGTCCGCCTATAAAGCAGGCCGCTCAGTGGGACCGGCTCCACCGAGGCTCAACCTGGTCACAAAGGGCCAAGAGCCCCCTCCCGCCAGGTTTACAGGGACAGGGTCACCCATGAGGAATGAGGGTGGCACTAGATGTCCCTAGCATCGCTGTCCTCTGTCCTCCCCCGATTCAGGATCCTGGGGTCTTAGCACCACGGTGACATGACTGGGACGTACTACAAAGAGCAACAGGGAATTGTGGGCCAGTGAGAATTTGGCAAAAGGGTCCCAAAAGTGCAAGCAGAGCCCCCTTTAGTGGCTGGGCCGTCCAGGTGGGGTGGGGTGGCACGAGGTCTTGCCGGTGGGATGCTCGCACTCTGAGCAGCCCGGCCCCACCCTGTCTGGGAGACGCTCTGCACTGGACTCCCCAGGGTGTCTGGGCTGCCAAGGCCGTGGGGAGCAGACAGAGTGAGGCCACGGAGGAGGGGCAGGGGCCCGAGGGCCAAGAAGGCAGTAACGGCTGTTAGAGCGCGAGCACCAGGCCCTCGGGCCTGCCGCTTCCTGGTCGGATAAGGGTGTTCACAGCTGTGTTCTGGAACGACCTTTCAACATGCCTGTTGGGTGGGAAGCTTCACATGGGATGCCATTTACAGGGAAGCACACCCAGGCTCAAAGGCAGTCATTCTGTGGCTTGCCTGTCCCGGGACCCTGGCCAGGGCAGAGGGGGCTCAGCAGCAAGAGGGTGTCCACCTCTGCAGCCAACAGTGGAGGGAGGGTCCACAGCCTCTGGGGGGAAAGGCCAGCTCCAGAGGGGCCGAGGGGTCTGAAGGAGGGGTACAGTGGGGAGTCTGGAGGGAGGCTCTGAGAGCTGTTGTGGGGGGTCCGGGGTCTGCACACCTGTGCTGGGCTCCAAGATGGCAGGGTGCTAGGAGAGAGCACCACTCTGCACTCGGCTGGGGTCTGGGTCCACCTGGGGCTGCCCGGTGGGGGCGCGGGGGGCCTGAGCTACAGTGGGCTCAGACAACCCTGGGCTCAGCCTGCACAGTGTCGGGGGGCCCGCCCCCCGGCAGACCGGCCCAGGAGAGTCTGGAAGGACGGAGCCTGGAGCTGGGCAGCAGGGGCTTCTCCTGGAGCACCCTCCTGGGCGCCGGCAGCCTGCGTGCCAGCCGGGGGGCCGGAGAAGCAGGAGGCCAGCGGCATGCTGGCCACGGCATGGTGCCCACGGGGACCTCCCACCCAGGGCCGCCCCACACGCACCTGAGGTGGCCTGCACGGCCACGCGGAGGAAGCCCTTCACCTCTCCCTTCTCGCTGACGACAGCCACGCGGTGCACCAGGGGCACAGGGTACAGCAGGTTGCTCAGGTACACGAAGGCCCTGGGGGAGCAGAGGCAGGGTCAGGGCCTCCCCGCAGCGTGCTGGCAGCGGCACGGCCCGGGCTCACGGCACGACACTGCGAAGCAGAGCGAGGGCAGCGAGCAGGCGGGCGCAGGCGGGCGCAGGCGGGCGCAGGCGGGCGGGCGGGGGCTGTGCTGGGTGGGGCCGGGCGGGGGGCGGTCCCTGGGCTGCAGAGGAGACAGGAGGAGGCGGGGGCAGAGGAGGAGGAGGGCGTGCGCAGGGCGGGCAGAGAGGAAGTGCGGAGCGGGGCTGGCACAGGGCAAAGCCCGCGGGGCCACACCCGCGGCCTGAGAGCTGAGGAGGGAGGTTTCAGCCTGCTTCAAGGAGGAGGAGGACCTGGGGACCCGGCCACGCCGAGCTATGACCTCACACTGGCACTGATGCCTGGCAGTCCCTCGGCCTCCCGCCCCTTTGCCAGTGACCCCGGACCTCAGGGCCCCACGGAGGGCTCCTATGGCAGAATACAGCTCAATTCCTCCTCAGACCCTTCTAGGAACACAGCGGGTGGGAGCTCACGGTGTCGGCCGACAGGGCACCACCCCGGCTCAGGGCCAGGGAAGTTGGCTGAGCAGAGCCCTAAGGAACCCCTAGACTGCACGGCACTGCCTGGTGAGCCTCGGTCAGCCACCCACTCAGTGCCCAGGGCCCTTCCCATCCGAGCAGCTCAGCTGTACACCTGACAAGTGGCAGGACAGGCTGGGTAGTGGCCATGTCACCCAGGAGTCTGCCCAACTCCCTGAGCTAGCCAACGTGCAGAGGTCACTGGGACAGCCAGGAGGACCAAGAGGACCCTGGAAGACCCGGGCCACCCAGCCGGTGTGCAGGCTGATGTGGAGCACATTTCCTCCCTGCTCAGGGGTGCCCTTCCCAGGGGGACTCTTGGCACAGGACAGGCGGGCTCACGTGAGCCCGATCCTGGTGAGAACCTGCAGCTCTGATCATACTTCAGCGCACCACCTGCCCCCCACGCTGCCCTCCCCTCCAGGCACAGAGCGACGGACAGCTGCTGCCGTGGCCCAGGGGCGCAGCCTTCAACAGCCCTGAGCTCCCAGGAGGATCTTGGGGAGGCTGGGGGTGCCAGGGGAGGGATCCAGCTTGGGAAAGGATGGGCAGGATTTGGACACAGAAAGGTAGGAGGTGTGCGGGAGCAGGTGCAGAGGCGGGGGGAGGGAGGCCCAGAGCCTCCGCCAGGGAGAATGGAGGAGGTCCAGAAGCAAGAGCAACAGTGGGGGGCTGGTGGTGAAGTGGAGGTGGGGGAGGGAAGGTTGCAGTCTCCGGGCCAGGTGGGTGCTGGTCCGGGGTGCATGACCCAGGGTGGAGCTGGGAGGAGAAGGGAGAGAGATGTCACCCCACCCCCTGCCCCTCTCAGCTTGCTCAGAGGTCTGATACCACCCAGGCTGAGCCACTGGCCTCGCCCCACACCTGAGCTCCCAGAGGACCCCCTACGACTGTAAGCATGGGGAGGGCCATTCCTCAAGGACCCGAATTCCAGGCCCTGGTGCCCCCTCGCCTCCACTCCCACTGGCCCTCCACCCACAGAAGGTCAGAAACCTGAGCACCATCTGGCTCTTGTCTCAGATGCACTGGTTCTACCCCAAATGTCTCTGTGGAGGGCCAGCCACCCCTCTGCTTCCCCCATGGCCCCCACAGCCGCCAGAGGAGGCTTGGGGCTCCAACCAGACTTCCACACACCCTTGGTGCTGGCCAAGACCACCGTCCAGCCACCGCTGTCCCGGGACACCCCAGGCGCTCTCTGCTCCCAGCCCCCACATCACATAACTCCTCATGGCCATCTGTTTGTCTGACTCAACAGTGGGTCTGTGTCTGCCAACCTTCTCTTGCTTCCTGGGCACCCCCCAGACCCAGACAGGCGCCAGCTAGAGGGAAAGGTAGCGCTGGCCTAGGGGGCTGAGTGTCACCCTGAGCATCAGCCCCTGGTGGCTTCCTGGAGCCCCTCTCCTCCCCAGCAAAGCGGCCTCTCTGGGAATACCCCGGAGGAGGCCTGTTCCAAGGGAACTCACTGGAGGGCAGCCGTGTTGATGGATGACTAAGGCAGGGGTGGGGGCTCTGCTGCCCCTGACCACCCACCAAGACGAGGTACGGGAGTGGCCGGCAGAAGCCGGTCCTGGCCCTAGTCACAAAAGGAATCTGGGGCTCAGGGAGCAGAAGCCCCTTGCTGCGGCAGCATAAGGCACCCCGCTGACAGGGACTGGCCAGGGCTGGCTGGTGGGCCTCTCCAGCACCCACCTCGGGATGGGGACGATGGTGGCCTGCCCTCCCTGGGACTCTGGCATCCTGGCCAAGGGTCTTTGCTTGACCCTGGGGGCGTGTGAGGGGGGCAGCCATGAAAGGAGCAAGGCCTTGAGGTCCAGAAGGGGAAGTGGAGGGAGCCCAGGACTCAAGGCTGCAGAACAGGCCCAGACGCTGCTCTGCCCCCTTGGCTGGGCCCCACCTGGCCATCCCACCACATTGGAGAGCTAATGGGACCGAGCAGGACAGCCCTGAGCTGCAGGGTCCTCCAGTCAACCCCACCCCACCTTTCAGGGCAGGGCCTCGTTCCTGGGGCAGGGCCCACTGCGGGAAGCCCCGTGTTGGGAGGCAGAGAGGCACTGAGGAGGCTCCCAGGGGCCCCAGGCACAGACGGAGGGCCCACAGCCTGCCCACCCCCATCTATATTCTGCAGGGAACCAACAGGAGGACCCTCAGAAGCAGGGGACACCTCTCACTGGGGGCCAGGTGAGGGCACTGTGCCCGGCACAAGAGTCCTTAATCAGGATAGCTTCCTGGGCTGTCCAGCGTCACCCAGCCAGGAGGTAAGCCAGGGTCAGGCCACTGCAGAGCCCCTGGCCCGGGGCTGCCTTCCTAGAAGGCTCAGGGGTGATTCCTCAGGGGTCGACTCTGGGCGTGCAGGGCTCTGTGGTCACCCAGAGTGCCACTCACAGCACCCCAGAGGTGACCCCCACCCCTTTCTGAGTTCACAGGGTGCATGCCCACCCACTTCCTGATGCTCCTCCCCATCCCTCACCATGGCCAGGGCAGAGAGAGACTGAGGCGGAGGGCAGGGCCCGGTCCAGGTCAGGAGGTGAGGTGGGGGCAGGCAGGCCCTGACCCGGTTCTCTCCTTGGGGCCTTGCTTCACAAAACACGCTGTGCTCTTCCAGAGTGGACGCTTTCTGACAGGTTGCCAACCCGTGGGCTCAAGAACCTGTATCATTGTACAGATCTGAGGTTCCCACAAACCAGATGGGGGCTGGGCCTCTCGTGACCCCAAGGCCCAAATCATCCCCTCAGCGGTCCGTGGGTGAAAGAGCCGTGGTGCAGTCCTAGCTGCTCACTGCACCCCGAGCCAGCTGGGGGCCGGCTCGGACACAGCGCGCCTACAGCTCGTCACTTCTCAGACGCCCACTCTTCTCATCCTGGCAGCGGATGTGAGGCTGCCCTAACCCCCGGCACGTCCTGGTTCCCCTGCGGGCACCTTCTCCCTAGGTGTGCATCTAGCACGGCACTTAGAGCTGGTGCACTAATGCGTTAGGACCCCTCCACAGAGCAACACAAGACAGAAGGCAAGGTGCCGGAGGCCGGGGTTTAAACCCACAGGCTGGCCCCTCTCCAGCTCCCCTGGATGCAGACGCCACGCGCCAATGCCCACCTGCTCGATTCACACAGCTAATTAATTAAGGAGATCAATTCTTTCCTGATCTTTAGGCTTTCCTTCTGTCAGAGGAGAAGGAAAATCCGAGCACTCGTGACATCGAGAACTGCAAAGCCCGAGTTCAGATCCTCAGACAACGTGTCCCATTTGTGCTCCCAGAGGCAGGGCCTTCCAGGGCTGGGGTCTCGAGGGACCCCCTGGTGGGAGGTGGGGGATTACACAATGAAAAAGACCCCTGGGGTCCATGGCCAACCCCCTTTCCCCCTCTCTGAAGGTCACAACCCAGCCGTGCGTGAACGCGTGTGCACATGCCCCCCTAGGGTGCGCAGGTGGGACGCCACCGGAAGGCAAGAGAGCATCCGGTGCCAGATGCTGGGTCCACTCTCCTTCCTGCCACTCTGAATCCCTGGGGCCTCATCGTGAGACAGCGATGGGCACATCAGCCAGAGAGACCTCTGGGGCCCAGGAGCCACCATTCCCAATGGCGGCAGCAGCCTGGAAGACCCCACACCCCAAGCAGAGCTCAGCCTGACCCACAGAAGCCAGGACATGATGAAACGGAGCCCAGGGCATGGATGCTGGCCTGCCCTTCGCTGCACCGTAAGTGCCACAAACAGCCTGACTTCAGCATCGGCCCCCGAGGGACCAGAGCTGCCCCAGGGCTGCCTGGACGGCCCTGCTGGCCAGGGCACACCCACTGCACACAGAGAGGCTTGTGGCCTCGCTGGTGATGATTCGGGCTGAGCAGCCCTGAGCACAGAGGGCACCGAGCTGGGAGCTGAGGCGCTGGCCATGCCAGCCCAGGGGCACAGTGTGGACCCAGAGCAGGTCGGCGTCGTTCCACACAGAGTCTGGAACGCTTCCCTCGGGTGGTCCCTCCTTCCCCTTCCCTGCACCCTCCATCCCTGGCAGCCAGCCCCTCGCCCTCCTCCCTGCAGCTCCCACCCCGTCCAGCTTCTGCAAATGGTGCTCCTGGCCAGGAGGATTATCGGGGGGGGGGGGACCAGAGCCCCCAGGCCCACTTTCTCTGCCTGGGTCAGCCCATCCCACCTCCCCACTTCACCTGGCACCCCAGACCACCGGAGGGAGAGGCCACTGGGGGGCTAGCCCTGGCCATGGGTGAGGAGCCCAAGGTCAAGAAGTGGGAGGCCCACGCTGGGGGGCGGGGCTCGTCCACAGGGGGGAGGGCACCTTGAAGCAGGCTGAAACCCGCCCGGAGAGAGAGGAGGCGGCAGAGCGGCAGAGCCAGGGCTGAGTGTGGCGGGAGGGGAGGAGGCAGGGCTAACCACGAGATTGGTGAGGTGCAGAGACGCATGCTGGGGCCAGGAAAGCCTTTCCGAAGGGAGACAAGAGTGGGCGCCCCAATTCTGCTTAAGCTTTGGAGAGAGAGCCAGCAGCTACCAGAAGGATAAAGGGAACCAAAGATGGGGTCCTTCTCAGGGCCTGGGCCTGCACAGCTGCTGCGCGGGAGAAGCCAATTCTTGCCAAACCGAAAAGATGGGGACGTTTTCAAATGAAACCCTTCACAGACCGCCCGCCGTAGGGGGGCTGGCCTCTCATTGATGACTTTGGTTTGGTTTGGTTGTTTCGTAACATCTCAGATCCACAGAGGGGGGAAAATGTTGGAAGGACCCAGCTCTTTCTGGCTGAGACTGCAGAGCCCACACCCCGTTTCTCCCGGTGCCCTCGCTCCCCTGCGCCCTGAGCCCATGCCTACCTGACACCGGAGCGACTCCCGGGCCCACAGCCCAGGGCTTCTAGAGGCCTGCGTGGAGCTGGCCCCCAGGGCTACACCCCTGTCGGACTCAGCAGAGCGGGAGGCCCAGATGAGGGGCATCTCAGAGGGAGAGAGCCCCATGCTTGTATCCAGGAGGCCAGCACGTCACGCTCATGGAAAACTAGTCAGAATAAATCCATGACATGCACCCGCGGGAATCTGCTTGCTTGCAGGCGAAGTTGGCGGGGCTTTCATTCCGGGGTCTGCACCCAAGGGCTCCCAAGGGCTCCCCGTGTGAGCCCCCTAATCTGGGGGCCAGCCTCAGCCTTCAGCCTCCAGGCCTGGTGCTCCAAGGTCAAGACCTGCAAGAGCTCCCAGTGGCCTGGCCCAAGGAAGCGGTCTCAGACTCAGAGAAGGTTGCTGTTGAAACTGTCTGACGCTGTTTATATATTCGTAACATCTACATGGAGCTGTTTTGCAAGCCAAATGCTCTACCACTGCAGCTAGGTTTCTAGATCTTTCCTTCACCTGTTTTGCTTCCATTCCACGGTCATAAAAACATGAATGGCAGCTGTATCTGCCCAATCTGCCGGCAAGGTCTGGGCGGCCCCGGGGCCTCTGCTGCACCTCCTGACCTTGGCCTCCCTCTTCCGTCCAGAAACTGTAACGGGCCCTCTCTGCAAAGGGCACTTCCGGGAAGTGTGGGCCATGTGTGCCGTGTCTCACCAGGACAGCCCAGAGGTCAGGAGGAACGAACTGTCCTCACCTTGGACGGGGAAAGGCTCAGGGAGAGGCAGGGTCCACTGGGCCCCAGGCTTGGGAGGCAGACCGTCCCCTGCCTGAGCACCAGCCCTTCCTTCCCGCCCTCCCGGACGGTCTCCTCCAGGTTCTGCTCCTTCTCCCAGAGGGTGTGCAGGGAGGGCAAACCGGGAGTCTCCACCTCTGGGGCAACAGCAGAAGGAGGCAGAGGGGAGCGAAGCCGCCTTAGCGGGTGGTGGGTGCCAAGACGCAAACCCCCACTTTCCCAGACGCCCCCCTGGGCCCTGCTCCGGGACTCCCCCCAGGGATCTAGAGCCTCTCTGCAGGAGGAGCTCGGCCCGCACGGAGCCGGAGGGCTGTTCTCCGGGTGCACCACCCCTCCTTTGACTGGGACCCCGGCTGTCCCTGCTGGGCACGCTCCAGGATGGCCAGGAGCCCTGTCGCTCCCTCACGCCCTCTCCTCAGGGAGGCCAGCCCCTCGGCCCGCCTCGGCCTGGGGGTCCGGGGAGCTGCCCCGGGCACGGGGGCCACGCCCTGACGGCGGTCGAATTGTGCCCGCAGCAGTGCTCCTGCACAAAAGAGCTGGTTCCTTCCCAGCATGCCGTCCTCGACCTCACCAACCTTCCTACTAAACTGAACAGGGGGGGCCGGTCGTAAAACGGGTCCCGGCCGTCGCACAGCGCGTGCTCCGGAAAGACGTCGTCCTCCAGGTCCTCCTCCTCCTCCTCCTCCTCCTCCTCCTCCTCCTCCCCCACGCTCTGCTCCTCGGCAGGCTCGGTGGCGTCGGAGTCGGGGCTCGAGAAGGTGGGGGAGGGGGTGAGAGCAGCCATGCGCTCGCTCATGCATGTGTTGAGAAGAGGGTAGCTGTTGCAGCCAGAGATGACTGAACTGAGGTTAGTACGACAAGACAGAGAGAAGTTAACACCAGCTACTCGCAGGGACGGACAGGGGCGGGGTGGGGGGCTTCTGTTTAAAACCAAAACCAAACACACAGACCATCAGGAATGCTGCTTTGAAAGACAAGAGAACCAAAAGTGCACCCCGTCCCCAGGCTTGGAAAGAAACCGCACATGTGGTCAGTGGGAGGCTACGGAAAGTTCTAGAAAGCACCCGCTGGCGTGATCCTGGCCAGATGTGGCTGAGGTCGTGTGAGGACCGGGTGACACACATTCACACCCGTGGACATGTGCAACCTGGCGGCCACCAGCCCACAGCAGGTGCAGGTGGCAGTGCTGAGACCCCCTCCCCTCCCTGGATCCCCAGATTACCAGGCCCACTGGTCTGTGGACCAGAGTGGCTGGGGGGTGCCTCAGACGTTGAAGGATGAGGACAGGGGAGTCGAGGTGGAAAAGGGCCTCTTGCTGGGGTCCCCCAGCTGGGGGTCTCGGCCTTGGGAGGAGGCCCATTCCCTGCCCCCACCACCTTCTCTCTTTCTCTCTCTCTCAGCCTAGGGAGGGAAGGAGGCGCCCACCTGCCCACCAGCCGGAACCAGGGAAAGCGGTCGTAGAAGGGGTCTCCGCCAGTCACCACATTGTCACAGTCCTCGATGACACTGGAGGGCACCTCAGCTGCCCGGTCGTACATCTCCCGCATCAGGTCCAGGCGCTGCCTGTGGGGGCACAGAGATCACCGTGGGCCCAGGCGGAGCATCCGGCAGGCCATGCCTCCTGCTGGGGACAGTGCTCGGCCCAGATCCAGGCATAGCTCAGCATCATCCAAGGCTCAGCATGGTTTGCTGACAGACCCTCCACGCTCCTCAGAATCAGTCAACCACGAGCAAGAAACTTCCAGGTAAGCGCATGAGGCACCGCTAAATCCTCTCGACGCTGACCCAGTGACAGCAAGGTGATGTGAGCAGGCAGGACGGGCCTGGAACTGGAGGGAAGGGGACAGAGAAGGCCCGCCAAAGCCAGGGTGGGACAGCTCGGGATGGGGGATCGTGTCGCGGGGCCTTCAGAACTCAACGGAACGAAGTGCAAATTGGTGATAGGATATAGACACAGATAATATTTTAAAAATGATTATCCCTAGAAAAATCAACATGCTGTAGAAGAAAGGAAATGCAGTCATTTCCCCCTAGAACTCGGGAGTGACAGGAACAAGGTTGTTTGTCCTCACCGAAGTCACAGCGTAGCCCCGGGGAGGGTGGGAAGGGGCCGTGAGCGTGGCCTTTGTTCGCACGAGTCAGGGGAGCGCAGGTACCTGCGTGGGAGCGTGTGTCCGCGTGTGAACGAGCCACACTAGAGAGGAAGGCGTGCGAGTGTCTGTGAGTGTTGAGGGGTGTGTGCGGGTGGGTCTGGGTAGACCGCGAGTGTGTATTAACATCTTCCGTTCTCTGTACCGTGACGTTGTGGCCTCCCTGGGGCCTCGCTGGGTGGCCAGCCAGCCCGTGAGCAACTTGTGGGTGAGTCCCACCCGTCACACACAGACCAACCCCTCCCGCCCTTACCTCGCTCGCCACCGAGCCGGCACCCCCTGCCCGAAATCTCCCTAGGGTCAGGCACTAGGCAACCCGGCAGCCTTGTGGTCCAAAGCCCACAGGAGAACTCAAAGTGGCCAGTGCCCGCCGAGGCCAGGGCCCCACCCGCCCCTGCTCTCGTCTCCCTCCTGATGGCCAGGGCTCCCTCCCACCGGCATGGCCCTGCCCCTGTGCAGAGCCCCTCACGCCCAGGGCACCCCCAGCAGCATTAGGCTTTCCTTTGAGGCATCCACCTCGGTCTCGCTCAGTCTCTCTCGAGATCGAGCCGTACATTCGAGCGAGCACGTGGGGAGCGTGGAGCTGGAGGAAAGACGCCTCTCAGGGACAGCGGAGCCCCCCGTCCAGCCCCTCCGCTATCCTCCCTGGGATCCCTCCGGTCCCGAGGTGGAGACGTACCCTGCTGAGCTCTTCTGAGGACGCAGCCTTGCCCAGCGCCGCTCTGGAGGCTCCCTGCGCACCCCTCAGGGCCGGCTTGCCCGTCCTGCATGCTCGGCCAGCCCCCCATACCCCCCCTGCAGCACCACCGTGTCAGCAGCAGGAGAACACGGACTCTATAATTACGCTTTCTCCTTCTGATTTGGAAGCCATCACAGCAGGAAAAACAACCACGTCGACCCAGGAGCCCCGTGAACCCGCACCCACCCCAGCGCTCCCCTCGCGCCCCCCCCACACCTGAGCTTCTCCAGCGTCCAGTAGTGGGTGGCCCCATTCTTCTGGTCCTGGACCTCCACGGCCACAATGGTGCGGGGGAAGGGGCGAGTCTCCCGGTCTTTGGCGGCCTCGGGGGGCAGCAGGTCCGGCGGCAGCGGGGAGTAGAGCGTGTCCGTGAGGAGGACAAACTGGAACTGGACCTGCAGCAGGGGGAAGATGACCGCCCGTCAGCCCCTTGGTGGACGGGCGCCAGGCCCCAAAGGGCTTCCTCCCCACCTCCCCACCCCATGCCCCGCATGTTCACTGCAGCCTTCCGGCCAGCAGCGGCACAGAAAGCTGCACCTGCTCACGCGTGCTCCCTGAGCAGGAGGGCGCACGCCCCCGGGGCCGGCCCCGGGCCGTCCTCACCCTGCCCACTGCTCTCAGGGGCCCGGGTCGGGGACGGCGGCTGTGTCCTCCCCGGGGGCAGCGATGCCCGGCACCGAGTCCCCCTGGAAGCGGGACGTGTGAGGTGGCAGCCGGCAGCGGGTGGGAGCCCACCTTCTTCTTGAGCTCAACACTGATGGCGTTGGCCTCCTTGAGGAAGATGGCATTGCCCCACAGCTGGTCCCGCAGCGACGTGAACTGGTACCACTTCCACTTCCGGAAGGCCCAGAGCGCCAGCTCACATTCCCTCTCCGTCCATGGGACTGCGGGGAGAGGCATGTGTGGTCGTCACGGAAGTGCCACAACTCCCCACAGTGGCCGGGGCAGAAGGAAGCCGGAGGAAAGTTCTGCCCCCGGAGTGGCCAGAGGGGCCGCCCAGAGACTGGAGCTCGCCGAGAGGCCGGTCAGCTCAGAGAGGGCTGGCAGCCGCGTGCGGGCCGCGGTGGGCGCCGGCGCCCGAGGACAGGCAGGAGGGCAACCGGGGCCGAGCCCCACGCCCTGTCCCGGCTCCCACGCCTCTGCCCACTGCGCCCGCACCAGGAAGGACGCAGGGACAGCAGGCTGGGCCTGTCCGGGCTCCCAGGCTCGGCCTCCCTCACCCAGTGCTCCTGCCTCGAGGGAGGGAGCCGCATCAGGTAGATGATACCACACAAGGGGAGGCCTAGGTCACGTCAGCACAAAGGTACTGACCAGCTGACCGGAGGCTAAGCTGGACATGAACCCCGGACCTGCCTCCTCCCCGTCTGCCCTGCCTGTGGCCACCCTCATGCCCACCGCGGCTTGAGGTCAGCTGGTGGGCCGCCCAAGGTGGTGCTCAGAGAGGTGGATCTGCGGTGAGGAGCAGTGTGACCCAGTCCTGGGGAAGAGCACCAGCCTCCTGCTGGTAGGACGGGTGAGCCAAGGCTACGCCCTGCCAGCACCATGCTCCCCATCACCCGGGCTGGTCCACGGAAACGGCATGCACGTGGACAGGTGCCTTCCTGCTGCAGCCCAGCCTCCCCCCGGTCCTGCCGCCATGGGTGCCTCCCAGCAACAGGCCAGGGACCCCGGGGCAAAGGTGCTGACCAGCTGATCTCCAGGGAGTGGCCTGGGGGCTCCTCTTGTCCGAGACCCCTCCCCAGCCCAAGGCCCAGGCCCTGCCAGCGGAGAGCCCCTCACCTTCGTCCTCCGGCTCCTCCTCCTCCTCGTTCACCTCCGGGTAGTACCTGGAGTCCATCTGCTTCTGCAGGGCCTCCAGCTTGCTCTCGTAGTCCTGGCCACAGGAGGAGCACCGTGGACCCACGTGCGCACCCGGCCCCTTCCCCGGCCTCCCGCCTGGGCCTCCCATCTGTGGGCCCCAGGGCCTGCCCAGGACGTCTGGAGGCAGCCCCACCACAGTGAGGGCTGGCCCAGCGGGGAGCCCGGCCCCCCACCCCCACCCTGCAGGGGGCCTGGCCGGCGGGGCTGCCCTCACCAGCCTCTGTTGCTCCAGCAGGTAGGTGGCCTCCTCGCGCTCCCGGCGGTACTGGTCCTCCAGCTCCTGGAGCCTGCAGGAGCGGGCGGGGGTGAGTGGGCACAGCGGGGGCGAGTGCGGCGGGGTGCGCAAGGGGCCCCAGCCTCGGGCCTCACCTCTGCTCCATCTCCTGCTTCATGTCAATGCCCTGCTTCTCCAGCAGCTCCCGCTGGGCGAAGGCCCAGTCCACGGGCTCGGCAGGTGTCTCTGCGCAGGGCGTGCGCTCGCGTTCCTGCCTTGCCTGCTCGGGGTGGTTGAACCGGAACACATGGCTCTTCCCCATGATGATGCGGTTTCCTAGGGGACAGAAGCCAGACTGGCAATGGGGGGGGGGGGCGGCTGTGGCCTGGGGATGGCCTCCAGGGGTGGGGGCGGGGAGGAGAAGGGGCAAGCGGGGCACAGACACTTCCTCCGGCTTGCTCACCCCAGGGAGGGCCGCCGGGAGCCTCCCCAGGTCCCTGCTCTGGACCAGCCACCTGCCCTGTGGCCAGGACCTCACTCTCTCCCCAAATCCACCTCCTCCATCCCTCCCCATACAGCAGCCAACGATGTTGGCAGAACAGTCCTGGTGCTTTTCCAACATACGATCCTTTGCCTCACCCCACACGTGCCGCCCCCCATCCTGGCCTCCTGACCCCGTGCCCTGGCCCTGGACGCCCCTCCACACCCGGGGGCTGTGCTCGGGCCCCTCCTGCAGCATGGGCTCGAGGGTCCTTCCCGCCCGTCCGCCTCTCCACAGGCTGGCGCAGGGCGGGGGCCGGTCTGTGTGTGCCCGGGGCCCCCCGGGGCAGACGCATCCACCAGGGCAGCAGCACCCACTGTTTTTGGACAGTCCTGCCCGTAAGAGGTCTTTGGACAGCCTAGTTTCCTTCCAACTTGGGGCCCACAGGGGCCGGCTCAGCTCCTCCTCCCACGCCAGCCCCTGTCCACTGGTGGGTCCTCCCTAAGGCCTCCCTCAGCTCCTCCCTCAGCCACCTTCACCGGCCACCTTCGGCTGGTCACCGCTCTGTCCTCCCTGCCCTCGGGCCCTGACTATAGCTGGGCCCAGGTGCCAGGAGGGAGACACCAAGCTGAGTGCATGGACCCCAGGCCCCATCCTGAAGCAGCAGCGGGGGGAAGGCACACCTGTGTCCAGGCCCTAGTCATACCTGACCGCAGGATGCTGGGCTCTGTGACTTTCTTGCCATTGACATAGGTGTCTGCGCCCTCGCAGGGCTCCAGGGTCACCACGGCTATGGGACAGAGGAGGGGAGGTTAGAGAGGAGGACTGTGAGGGACCGTCATCCTGGCTGGTCATGCCCTCTGTCCACACGCACGGCTCGGCTCACCTGGCCGCCCAGGTGCGGCCCCCATCAGGCCTCTCTCCTCCCTGCTAGCTGCAAAGCCTGACTGCCAGCACACAATACCTCGTTTGGGCCCCAGAGGACGGTTGCCCTCACACAGCAGGTGAGGAAGGTGACCCCGATGGAGAGGCACATGTGCCCGAGTCAGAGAACCAGGGGAGCCGTCAGGGTCCTCAGGTGGGCACGGATGGGAAACAGTGGCTGCATGTCCCCAGGAGTCCCAGAGCCCTCCAGAGCTTAGAGCCCACCCACCCAGAGGAGGGCAGGCTTCGGGGACAGAATTCCGGGAGAGCCGACATCCCCAACGCTGTTTAAGGCCATGACCCTGAAGTGTCCCAGTCACAGTGGGCTGCAGGCCAGACGCTTGCCAGGGAGCATGCCTGGCGCTGGGGGGGCCGTGGGCACTGTGATGGCACAGGGATCGGCAGGTGTCTCCCGAGAGGGCCACGTCCCAGACGGGCAACGGGGACGGAGGCGGGCAGGCAGGCTGGGTAATGGACAGATGACCACTCCAAGGCTGACAGGAAAGTGTCCTCCAAAATAGCTCTCCACCCTGGATCGAGGCTCACTCCTCACAGCTTACTATCCCCCTGCCCACTCCTGGCACGGGGAGGGAGCTCCCGTGTCCACTCCCAGCACTCAAAGCCTCGTTCCAAAGGAGGCGCTTGCCCGGGACTGACGAGGGAGCCTGGGCCGAGCCGGGCAGTCAGCAGCAGGGGGGCCGGGCGGGGCTGAAGGGCAGAGGTACCTTCACTGCCCCCTCGGGAGTCGCTCCGGAAGACGCAGTGCTCCTCCTTGATGAAGTGCCCGCTCAGGACGATGTCCTGCCGCCTCTCCGCATCCTCCCGGCCCACTCTGGGGAGGAGGGGCGGGGACCGTCAGCAGGGGCTGGACCAGGGCATCCAGGCCGCCGCCCACTGGCCCGCCCCCGCCCCCCGCCCCCCACAGGGATGCCCAGCTGGGCTCCGTAGGGAAACTCCCAGGGTGCACTGGTGGGGCCGCAGGGGATGCCCCAAGCCCAGACCAGCCTGGGAGAGCCCGCAGCACAGAGTGGCCTTCAGCCTCGTGTCCAGCAACAAGCACGAGCAGACAGCAGGGCTCCAGCAGATGCCAGGCTCGGCAGCCCCTCTGCAGGGGAGCCGCCCACCCCCCGCGACCCCCACCTGGTGATCCCGTCCTTGATGTAGTACAGGAGACACTCGGACATCAGTGGGTCCTCGTTCAGGTTGACGAGATGTGGCGTCTGGGGAGAGAGGAGGGTCACCTCTGCTGGGGAGGCGCAGGGGCCCAGCACTGGCACCCACCTGATCTCTCTCTCCTCAGGTGCCAGCCCACCACCACCACCAGCCCTAGGCTTGGCCTCATGAGGACGCAGTGTCCTCCCAGCCTGGCTTCCCTGAGGAGAAGCCCGGGGAGCTCAGAACCTGGGGGGAGGCACTCAGGGGGAGCTGGGCTTCCAGAGGAGCTGGGAACCCAGGGAGGTGCTGGGGGCTGTGGTGGGCCCTTGGATATGCAGGGCGCAGGCTGGGTCCCGCAGGGACCAGGGCACCGGCTCTGGTCTTTTCCTCCACCCTAAAAGGGGCTACAGGACCCCATTCCAACTGAAGCACCTAGGAGCTGAGGGCCCCAGTGGACCTGTGAGTGCAGAAGGATTAGGGTGCTGACTGGGGAGGGAGCTGTGGCCTGGGGGCTGTGGAGCAGAGGGTGTGAAAGAAGTCCCTGCCAAGCCCCCCAGCTCGGGCCCCTCCCGTCCGCAGGCGCACCGAAGGTGACCACCTTGTCTGAGCACTGCCCTCAGTCACCTGTCCTTCCCAGGGCAACCCCCACAGGCTTCACCCACTGGGGCCCTAGACACGCTTCCCGAGCTCAGGAACGCCACCCCGCACTGTGTCCCAGGCTGGGGTCCTGCAAACTGGTGGAGGCTGGGACAGCTTTCTTGGCTTCCCTCCGGGCACCTCGGAACAAGCAGCCTCCACGCCCAGCTCCAAGTCCCCCAGCGCCCCACCACCGCTCTGTGCAGGACTGTGAAGTCCTGGCCATCGGACACTGGGGACAACCATCCCCAGCCACCCCTTCTCCCAAGCAAGGAGAGCTGTGCTCGCCAGAGTCCCAGGAATGCCACCCTCTCAGGAGGAGGTATCCTCAGAGGCCCCCAGGGCAGTGCCAAGACTGGGGCCATCGAGTATTCTCTCTGCCACCAAGGTGCCTCCAGGCCTCCAGGGTGCAAATGTCCCGAGGTCGCCTGCCCCCACAGCTCTGTACACTAGCCCTGGGGTGCGCCCCACTCCCCAGGAAGGGTCAGGAACTGAGAGCCCAGGAGCAATCCATTCCAAATGAAAACTAAAGCCTATCCAGAAGGCATAAGAAGCAGCGTACCACCTGCTCCCCAGCCTGCCCCAAGTGCAGAGCCTGCCCACACGCCCTCCCAAGCACCTCTCCCTCCCTCCTGCCTCTGGGCCTTAGCCCACGCTGCTCTCCTGGCCTGGAGTGCATGGGGCAGAAGCAGCCCGAAGAGCCTGGCCCTGTGCCCAGCTGCTGGATGCATCGCCCAGCATGCGCACTCCCCTTCCCAGGGGTCCCCAGCAGCACAGAGGGCGCTCCACGTGCCTCTGGCTTCAGGTGCCGGCAACACAGAAACCCTTTGTCTCAAACAAGGCCAAGGTGAAAAGCCAGCCACAAGGAAATTGCTCCAGGGAAGACAGGAAGGTGCTTCCTCGCTGACCAAGTGTCAGGGACAGGGCCTGGAGACCCCGAGCTGTGGTCAGAGCAGACACCTCCTTGGAGGCTTCCTGGCTTGGAACTTGGCTCCTAAGAGCTCTAAGGGTCTGGCACTCTTTGGGGTGAAGGGGGTCCTGGGTCCTAGAATTATCAGAGAGAGTTTTCCCCAAATGCTCATGCTACACCCCATCTGAGCTATCAAAGGGGGTGGTGCTCTGCTCCACGTGAGGCCCCCCCAGCTGACAGGGCCAGGTCTGGATAGCGAGCCAGGCTGGGGTGGGAGAAGAGTCCCAGCTGGGACAGCCAGGCCCAACTTTGGCTAAGCTCCAAGAGGGCAGTGTCTCCCAGTTTCATGTCCAGCCAGGCCCTGCCCATGGCCTGCACAGGCTCCAGTGGGTCCACGCCCCCCAGTCTTGCCTCCACCTCGAGGATCCCAGTCCATTCCTCAGGCAGAGTGAGCCATCTGGATGTCCTAAGGCCACGGGGACATCCCACTGTGGGGAGGCCAGGCCGAGTCTCCCACATAGGAAGGTCTGGCTGTGGGCAAGCATGGCCCCTGGGGCCTACACCTGCCCCCTCTCAGCCCAGGAGGATCCCTCTGGCCTCCCAGAGGAGCTGACACCCCACAAAGGGCTGTGGGCCACCCAGGCCAGTCTGAGTCAGGGCTGTACCCCAGAACTAGAACCAGCACCTACCTTCTTGGGAGAAAACACCCCCAGTGTGCCGCCATCCTCCCTCATGGCCACGCCCATCTCGGCCAGTAGGGCTTCCCTGGAAGGACAGTGTCCGGGTCAGCTTGAGCCTCGAGGCCACAGGACCTGCCTCACCCCCAACCGACCCATCGGCCAAGCAGGAGCTGGAGGGGATCTGGCCACACAGCCCAAGGGCAGCGCCCAGGTGGTGCCCCATCCAGTCAGTGATCCGCCTAGAGAGGACCTGTCACCTGATCAGAGATCAGGTCAATGGGGCCATGGGTGACGGGGTGAGGGGGGAGTCCCTGGTGAGAGGAGATGAGCCGTCCCACGCTAGGGCACGGTCACCCCCAGGAGCCCAGGGCTGGGGTGCTGGAGTCCTCAGTTTCCCCACCGCCCACCTCTCCATCCGGATGGCTTCCGTCCGCCGCAGCTTCTCCTCCCATGTCTCGTTGAGCTCAGCGATGATCTTCTCCGTCTCCTGGGCAGCAAGACAGAGCAGAGTGAGGTTGGGGGTCTGCGGCGGAAGCAGACAGAGGCCAGGCTGCCGGGCAAAGGGCAGACGAGCAGCCAGGTCTGCAGGGCACAGGGCCCCAATTCCCAGGTCTATCTAGGCAGCACAATGCCCGAAAGGTCAAGGTGAAGGGCTAAGGGGTTAACGTGTCCGCGGACACAAGTGTCTCCTGTGGACACAGCCAGACAGTAAAGGAAAAGGCAAAATAAACCTGGAGGAAGAGAAACACATACACACAAGGACACTGAGAGACATGTGAGACACCGAGAGATGTGTGGGACACTGAGAGACACGCGGGACACTGAGAGACACGCGGGGACTGAGAGACACGTGGGGACACTGGGAGACACACGGGACACTGAGAGACACGTGGGGACACTGAGAGACACATGGGGACACTGAGAGACACGCGGGACACTGGGAGACGCATGGGACACTGAGAGACACACAGGGACACTGGGAGACACTCAAGGACAATGCAAGATACTCAGGAGCACTATGACCCACGCAGGGACACTAGAGACACGTAGAGGTACTAAGAGATATCGGGGACACTGAGAGACACATGGGACACTGAGACTGGTTCTGAGGCACAGATGTCCCTCGGCCACTGCCGGGACCAGACGACAAGCACTTCCAACATCAGCACCAGCTCCTGGCTTCCTTCCCAGCCCCACACCCCAGTGGGCCCTACGCCCCAGAGTCACCCACCCACCCAGTGCCCCACCCCAGCCTCGGTCCAGCCTCTGTGCGTTTGTCTGCTAAGTCACCCCCAGCCCCGCACAGTCCAGCACCCCACAGTCATTCCCTAGAGGAACGCTAAGCTCACAACCTAAAACCCAGCCGGCCCACCGTGGGGTCACAGGTGTGAGCACAGAACACCTGGGCGGGAGCGCAGAAGCCCCCGGGAGCCCTTGGTGCTGGGCAGTGGAGGGGGTGCCCGCGGGTGGGGCCCAGACTTACTCGCTCCGCCTCTAAGCAAGCCCACCCCTTGCCGTCAGCGCACCCCTTCCAGGAGGAGAGGCCTCGGCCCGGTGCACAGGCCCCTAGAGGGGGCGCTGTCCCCCGCCGGCGGCGCCCTCACCTTCAGCCTCTCAATGGCCTCCTCACTGCCCGGGGCAAACAAGATGCGCTCGTGCAGACTGGACACGGAGGCGGCACGGCTGGACAGGGCCGAGAGCGAGGACGAGGGGCTCATGCCCACCAGGGCATTGGTCACTGTGGAGAGATTGTCAGGGGCTGGACTCAACTCTGCCCCGCCACGGTTACGGTTATTGTTCTCAAGGTCGGAAACATCTACGGGAGGAAGGGAAGGGGAGGGCGGCAGACAGATGGGAGGGAGAGAAAAGAAAGACCAAGTTGGGAAAAAGCAAGAGGAGGGTGAAGAGAGGCGGGAAACGGAAACCCCCAGCAGGTGCAGCCTGGGGCCCAGCGCCGGACAAGCACATGCAAGGCGGCCTGCCACCTGCCCGCCAGGGGACCCAGCCCCCAGAGCCCTCCCAGCACCCCGGCAGCAGCAGGGCACCCCCTCGAGCTCCTCTCTACCCTCCCCACCCCCACCCTGCCTGGGCCTGCGGCCTTCCTGCTTTGCCCACACCCACTCCCAGGCCGCCTGGTAGTCTCCGCACCCCCACCCTGTCTCCTGGCCTTTGCTGTCACTGCCCTGTGGCCTTCCTGCACCCAGAGCCCTGACACCCAGCCTCACCCGCTCTGCCTTGGGCGCCCCCCTCCGCCCCCCCCGAACCCATCACCCGCCTGGCCCGCCGTGCGTCCCCGAGCTGCGGGGACCATGCGGCTCTAACTGTCCAGCCCCACCGAGCACAGGACTCGGCCCCGAGAACACCTTGGAGGAGAGGTGAACTGTGGGACCCCCGAGATAGCTCCTACTCCTCCACCCTGAAGAGCCTGCTCTGGGTCGCCCCCGGCTCCATGCCCCCCGAGGCCTGGGACTCGGGGCTAGGACGCCCCTGGTGGGGGAGGTGCCCAGACCCCTCCTGGCAGAAGCGGACACACGGCAGAGCAGCAGCAACGTAGGACAGCACGGGGCGCGGGGCAGAACGAGGGCGCCCTGGAGCCCTGGGTCGGGGGGCACCAAGCCCCAGGCCCGAGGCCAGGAGACAGGCTGGGAAGCTCTGGCCCGGTATCCTCACTCAGCATTTCCAGGGCGAGGGGCTTCGGCGTGTGGGGCCGGGGGCAGCCCCGGCTCCTCAGGCCCTCCAGCTCTCCCCGCCCTCTGCTGCTAGGCTACCATTCCGAGCTTCCCAGGCCTCTGGGAGTACAGAGCGTTCAGGCAGGCCGAGCTCAGCCGCTTCCAGCCTGAGAAGGCCGTGGCTGCACCAGGCCTCCCTGGGGCCTCAGTTTCCCATACAGACATGGGCTGAGCCGGGAGCATAGGCGGTGGGCCCTGCATCTACCAGGACGGTGCCTGTGAGCAAGAGAGCTGTTGCCCCAGCCCCTGCAAGGGGGGAAGGCAGAGGACGGCTGGGCCGGCGCCTCCCTGCCGTGCTGCCCCATACCCCGCGGAGCAGGGACAGAAGCAGGGAAGCAGAGAGCAGCAAGGGGGATACACACATTTGGGTCCTCCGGGCACAGTGTTGGCTAAGGGGAGGGGAGGTGTGGGGGAGGGAGGAGAGACAGAGAAACAGAAGAACAGGTTTGTCTCCAGAGGGTCTGAGGCCCGCCCATCGCAGGCCGGGCACCAGGCTGGAGGTGGGGTCTTCGGCGGACACGCGGGGACCGCTGCAATCCCAGCACCCACAGCACGCCGATGTGGCTTCCAGGGAAACCGTCTGCGGCCTGCCTGGGCCGGCGCCAAACCCATACCATCCACCCCGGCCGAGGCCAGAAACCACAGCCTCCCCCCGAGGCGGCTTGCCCGGGGACTCAGAGCAGGGCTAGGATGCAGGTCAGGGCCGTGAGGGCAGCCTGGCCGGCCCCAGGCAGCACAGACACTCACTATCGGTGATGTCCCCGAGACCCTGGGCGTACAGCAGGTCCCGCAGCCGGGTCACCTCGTCCTTCAGCTCACGGATCAGCTTGTTGTTCGGGTCCTCATTGATGACGGCGTTACAGCGGATCTGTTTGGCCCGGTCAGCATACCTGGACAGCCAAGGGGGCTGTGGGCTGTGCCGGTGGCCGGCTGGCCCAAAGGGGCCCAGAGCCCTGCCCGGGGCAGAGCCGTGCTGGGGAGGGCCTCGGCAGCTGGGACCCAGGGGCTGGACACAGAGCAGGGGGTCAGCCCCCTTGGAGTCAGTGGGGCCACTGGCCAGAGAGCTCCAGGTGGGGTCACCTAGCTCTGCCCCCCTATCTGGGGGGACGGAGTCCCCAGGAGGAGCAGGGATGGGGTGGTACCTCTCCGCGGGGTGGGGCTTTCACACCTGGACCTGTGGTCCCCAGGGTGGAGGGAGCAAGTCTCCCACTGGGGGAATATGAGGATGCCCACACGCGTGTGTCTTTAGCCTGCACACCCAAGTGTCACAGGTGTGTGAGCACGGACCTATATCAGGACCCACGCCATGTGTGACCTGGTCAGCCAAGCAAACTCCTCAGGGCCAGCACCCAGGCTCCCCACCCAGGCTGCCCGCCCTGCAGCCAGAGGGACCTTTGGAACATACCTGTGCCCCTCTGCTCATTAAAGACCTGGTTTGGTACCACAGGGGTCCTGGGCCACTGGAGTCCCATGGGTGGTGGGAATGGAAGGGGCCCGTGAAGACCCAGGTGCCCCCAACAGCCACTTGGAGCCTTAAGGAGCCCCAGATGAGATGGCCTCCCCCAAAGCGGTGCTCCTGACTCGGTCAGGGATCCACGCCCTCCCAGAGCCAGGCAGGGGGCGGAGCCCGCCGTGCTCGAGAACACACCTCAGCGTGCTCAGAGTCTCGTCGTAGTTGATGTCTGCAGGGCTCAGGGCCGCCACCATCGCCGTCCTCGAGTTCCCACCTGTGGGAAGACGGCTGGGTCGTGGGGGCTCCTCTCTCCCCCGTCCCCTCCTATCTTTGCTGCTGGGGAGGCTGAGGCCCAGACAGGTAAACCGAGTCACGGGCCACTGTGTGAACGGGGGGGTCTGGCCTTCACTACTGCAGTTATTTTTCTTCTATAGCATGCTTTTCTCACATTTGGGGCCATTTTACAATAGCCAGGCTCCCTCCCCATAACCAAGTTGGGGGGAGCTGTGGCGGATTTTACAGCATTTACTGCAAGGGTCGGGATAATTTCTTTAGAAACTCAACATTCATTTCAATTCAAGATGCAATGATTCTTTCACTTTTATCTTTCTCTTTTGGAATATTTTCCTTAATATTTCACGTCCAGAGTCCTGGCCCAGGACAGCGCGGAGCCTGGCGTCAGGTAGCGCACCGCGTGAGGAAAGTGATGGTTGGGCTTCAGCTCTGAGGCTAACAGATCACTCGAAGGCTCACAGCACAGTGAGCACTGGGCAGGGGGTGCGGGCAGGTCAGCGGCCCGGGCAGCCCTCAGGAACATGACCCCCACACGGACTGGGAGGTGACAGTGTGAAGAAGGGCTTGGGGTGCAGAGCCACGCCAGGTGCCAGGTTGGGCTACACAGCGGCTCCCCCTGCCCCTACCCTGGAGCTGGGCCTGGGCAGAGGCCTCCCTCTGGTCCACGTCCCAGGTGAAGGAACACATTCCTAGGACACTACCGTCCACTCTCAGGGGGGCCCACCCACCCCCGGGAGCACCCAGGAGGCCTGATGTGGTACCCATCACCAGCCCAAGCGGAGCATCAGCCAGGCTGGTTCTGGGGTGCCGGGTCGGCCAGCAGGGGCTCCTACACCGTAGCCACGGAGCTGAGGAAGTCTGTAGGTCCCAGCTGCCTGTGTTCCCTGGGTCGGCCCAAGACTCAGTTTACTTTCCTGGGCGTCAGCCTCCCAGACTGTGAACATAGCCAGGGAGGACCCCTGAGGTTATTTTTGGGAGGAAAGGGATCAGTATCGGGACACTTCAGTCTCTATCTCTCTATCTGTGTCTTAGGGGCTCAGAACTCAAGGAGAAGGGGTGACAGATGGCACCTACCAAAAGCCCAGCAAGCAAGCAGGGCTCCCCGGAATCTGGAGTCCCAGCAAGGGGTGGTACTTGGTCTGGATGTCACGGGCTTGAAGCAGGAGCCCCGACATAGGTGTGTGTGTTCTGTGGCCCTATGGGCCATCCTGCTTCCCCGCACTTGCTCTCCTTAGCCCTTTGCTGGCCTCCAGAAGGATCCCTCAGGTTTGCCTCAGCCTCGGCCCAGAAAGGGTGAGAGGCCTCCTGGTGGTTGGACACCCCCTCCCAGGAGGTAAGGCAGGACAATGGCTCAGGGTGGAAATTAGAGCCCTAGGGGTAAGTGAGCCCGAGAGTCCTCACCCAGATTTTCTCGGAGGAGCCAGGTCAGCACGGAATCTCTGTATGGAATGAAATCTGTCTTCTTCTTTTTCTTGTTCTGTGAGGGAAGAACATTCAAGGTCAACCCTGAGCCCATTGGAGGGGAAGGGAGATGGAGGGGGCAAAGCACAGGGTCTGTGGGGTGGGTCCCCAAAGCCAAAGGCTGCTGTGGAGGGCAGGGCTGGGCCAGTTCTCAAGGCCTCTCCCCACCTGACCCTTAGGGTGCCACCCCCAGGCGCCCGCACTCAGGGCCAGAACCAGACTGTCACATCCCCTCAGGTTCCTCCCTAGTCCATCCCGTCGCACATCTGGGCCACACAGCCGGACAGAGCCAATCCTCTCTCCACTCTGTCAGAAGGACCAATCTGAGCCCATCACCCCCTCCTCAAGCAGTACTGTCAGCTCTGCTGACTAAAAAGAAAAGGCCCCACCACTTTATGCAGCATTCCAGGCCTCTGCCAGTGCCCATCCGCTCGCCCCTCTCTCTCCACATGGAACTCACCTTCCCTCCCTGCAGTCCAGGCACAAGCCCCTTCTTTAGAAACTGCTCCCCCACCCTCCCCTCAGGATGAAGCATCCTCCACATTCCTAGCTACTCCTGCGGCTCTTTATTCCTCTCTTAAAGTGAATGCAGGTCATTCAGAATGTGGACTCAGGCCCACGTAATGGCTGCTGGGAATTATTGCTTCTTATGGACTGACCGAAGGAGTCCGCTCATCACGGATATTCAGTTCCTTTCCTGTGTCTCCTAGTTCATGTGTAGAGCTGCTTAAAAGTATTTGTTGAGCACCTGCAGCGGCCAGCAGATGTGGCGCCTGCCGCCCGGACTCCCCACCCAGGGAGACACACGCAGGCATTACCACAGGCTGTGCCGTTTCTCTGGGTTCAAGCTCCCCTGTCATTGTTCTTCAGGATGATTTCCGAGAGGAGCTCCGCTAGCTCTCAGAGAACATAACTTTGAAAGCTCCTGAGACACGAGGTCAGAATGGCTTCCCAAAATGCTGTGCCGGCTTCGCTGTAGGCGGGGCTTGAGTGTCCATCTCCTAGCAGCGCCTCAGTACCGAAGGCCTTTTTTAATCTGTTGAGACTTGGTGGGTGAAAACTGTATTTCTACTTTGCTTTTTGATTACTTAATTCCTGAGGCTGAATCCTCTGCCACATTTGTCATATTCCTCATTTCCACGGTAAATGCCCTACGACCACGCAGTCCTTTCTGCAAGGACCAGGGGTCACCTTCAGTTCCGTCGCTCCATCACCATTGTTCATTCCATGCAGCAGCAGCCACTGTTCAGTCATGCTCCTGCACCTCCCAGAACGACCTGCTGCTCTCCCTTCTCCTCTGCCTTCCCAGCCTCTATCATCTCACACCTGGGTTTTTGCACCACTGACTTCCAGTCTCCTGACTGCCACACCAGGCCATGCCGTTCCCCATCTATTCTTCATGCAGCAACCTGAGCCCTGCTGAAAACCCATCCACTGCTCCCCATTAAACCACAATCAGCTAGTTCCTGACAACAGACTAAAGACCTCAGATCAGGCCCCTGCCCTTCTCTGGCCTCATCGTCTACATGCCTCCATGCTCCCTGATCTGCATCATCTACATGCTCCAGACCCCGATCCTCAAAAACTTTCTCACTCAATTCCTGAAAAAGTTTCTATTGCAAACCCCCCACTTCACACAGTTCCCATAGTGCCTCACACATTCCCTCATTGTCCCTCACTCACTCCCTCACACAGTTCCCCACAGCACCCTGCACAGTTCCAGGTCCATCACACAACTCTGCGCAATTTGTCACACAATGCATCCCACGGTTCATGACACAGTTCCTCTCTCACAGTTCCTTATATAGTTCTTTACATAGTTCCACCTAGCTCCTCACATAGATCTCAACAGAGTTCCTCATATAGTTCCACACGATTCCTTACAGTCCCTGGCACAGTCCTTCACAGTTCTTCACACATTTCCCCAAAGAGCTTCTCACAGCTCCTAACATAGTTCCCCCCACCATCCCTCACACAATTCTGCTTTTTAAAGAGGTCCCTACACAGTCCCGATGCAGCTCCTCACACTTCCGCCCGTAATTCCACACAGTCCCTCGCAATTCCTGAAAACGTCCTCAGCACTTTCACAGTCCCCACACCATTTTGCATTCTTCCTCTCACAGTTCCACATAGTTTCTCACAATTCACACAGTTCCCAATGGTTTCTCACTTTCTCATCTAGTTTCTCACACTTCCCCCACATTTCCTCACACAGACTTTACACAATTCCTCACACAGTTCCTCACAATTCTTCCAATTCCACACACGGTACCGCACAATTCTATACACCATTCCACATACAGTTTCCCAAACAGCTCTTCTCACAGTTCCTTACACAGTTCCTCATATAGTTTCTCTCAGATCCTCACACAATTCCTCTCAGTTCCTGACATAATCCTTCACACCACCCCTAACACAGTTCTATGCCTACTTCCCACACTGTTCCTCAAACGGTTCTTCACACAATTCTTCACAGTTCCTCAGTTTCCTCACATAGTTACTCACTTAGTTCCCCCACACCATTCCACGTTTCCTTACACAGTGCACACAGAGTTCCTCAAAATTCTTCATACAGTCTACATCTATTTCCTTACAGTTCCTCATAATTCCTCACATCCTCCACAGAATTCACCTGGTGCCTTATATAGTTTTCATCTCAGATCCTCTCATAGTTCCTCACACAGCTCCCCACACAATTTCTTCCTTTCACGGTTCCACAAAGTCCACATACAGTTCCTCACAATTCTTCAGTTTCTCACCCAGGTCCACACGGTTTCTCATAGTTCATACCGTTCCTCACAGTTCCCAACAGTCCACACAGTGCCATATACAGTTCCACACACACACTTTTCACACAGATCCTGCACAATTTCCCACACACTTTCATACAGATTCCTTCAGTTTCTTACACTTCTCCACACAAATCCCTGACATAGCCCGTTACACAGTTCTGCATGCATTTCCCCAGAAAGTTTCTCATAGTTCCTCACATTCCTTTTCCCACTGACTATGTGGGAAGTGTGCGTGTGTGTAATTGTGCCAGGAACAGTGTGAAGAACTGCACTGAGAGACTGTGTGGGGAACTCTGTAAGTAACTGAGGAGAATTGTGTGAGGGACTGCTCATTGTCCCTCACATAGTTTTGCATACAGTTCCCTCACAGCCCTCATACTTCCCCACACCATTTCACATACTTCCTCTCACAGTTCCACACAGTTTCTCACAGAGTTCACATACATTCCTCACAATTCTCCACACAGCTCCCCACACAGTTCTACACATAGTTTGTCAGTTTCTCTCACTTCCTCACTGTTCCCTCACACAGTTCTACCCAGTTCCTCATACTTCCCCACAAAGTTCCCCCCATCATTCCAGAGTTCCTCACAGTTCTCCAAAAATTTCCTCAAAAGTCACTCACACAATTCCCAGTCTGCCCACACAGTTTCACACCCTTCTTAGAGTTCTGTGAAGTGCCTCACGATTCATTACTTACACACAGTTCCTCTCACAACTCCTCACATAGTTCCTCCCACAGTTCCTCACAATTCTTCATGGAAATCCTCAGAATCATGCAGTTTCTCATGCATATCCTCAAACTATTTCTCACAGTTCCTCAAACAGTTCCCCACACACTTCCTGTATAGGTTCCCACCCAGATCCTCACAGTCCCATACAGTTCCCTCACACAGTTCCACACACTTCCTCTCACAGTTCCACAAAGTCCCTTACATGGTTCCCTACACACTTCCTCACACACTTCCATGGAAAGTTGCCTCATACTGTTCCCACAGTTCCTTTACAGGTCCTCAAAGAGTTCCTCTCATTTTCTCACAGTTCTTGACACATTACTTCAACACAGTTCTTCCCAGTCCCTCAGTTTTTCACACAGTTTCTCTCATAGTTCCTCACAGTCCCCACAGGTTCCTTGCAGAATTCCTCATATAATTCCACACAGTTCCCTCTACACACTTCCCCACATAATCCCTCACAATTCCTCCCACAATTCCTCTCATAAGTCACCAGTTTTTCACACAGTCCCACATGGAACTCCTCCAAGTTCACAGACACAGGTCCCCGCACCGTTTCACATACTTCCTCTCCCATTTCAGTGTGGTTCCTCACACATTCCACACAGTTCCTCGCAATACTTGACAGAATTCCAGACTTCTTGCACAGTTCCCCATACTAGTACCTCACACTTGCCCTACACAGTTCCCCACACAGCTCCTCACATAGTGACTCACTGTTGTTCAAGGTCCACACACAGTTCCTCAAGGTTCTCCCTCCACACAATACCCACATATTTTCCCACACCATTCCAACTATTCCCCACACTGTCACGTTCCTCACAGTTCTTCACACAGTTCCTGCCTGGTTCCCCACACCAGGGTTCCTGGTGCCTCAGAGTTCCCACACACAATTCCCATACGATTTCATACACTCCCTCTCACATTTCCTCGGAGTTCCTCACATAGTCTTCACATGGTTCCTCGCGGTTCCCACATAGTTTGACCAGGTTTCCTCAGTTATCCATTTAGCTCCCCACACCATTCTCCACAGTTCCTCATTCAGTCCACACATTTACTCATAATTCTTCAGTTTCACACGCATTTTGTCACAGTTACAATTCTTCAGAGTGCCATACCCAATTTCAATTTTCTATAGTTCACAATACAGTCTGTTACAGTTCCTTGTGCATTTTACCCATTTCTCACACTTCCTCACATAGTTCCTTACACAGTCCTATGCACAGTATTTCGGTTGCCCACACAGTTCTCTACAATTCCTCATAGAATTCCCACACTTGCCCTACACCATTTCAGATCCTTCCTCTCACAGCTCCTCAGTTTTCAGTTTCTTACACAATACTTCATAATTCCTCACACTGTTCACAATTCCACACACACTTCCCATATAGTTCCTCACAAAATCATTCACATAGTTCCTCACAGATACTCACACTGTTGCTACAGTTAGTTCCTCTCAGATCCTCGCTTAGTTCGTCCCATGTTTCCTCACAGTTCCCAACACATTTCCTCACACAGTTCCCCACATAGTTGATCACACACTTCCTCTCATTTCCTTACATAGTTCCTCATGCTTCCCCACATAGTTCCTCACATTTCTGCCCACGCAATTCCTCACATAAATCAACATTTTTCCACTTTAGCACCTCACGCTGGGCTTTCCAACTACATGGCACAGGTGCGTACCCCTCTGCCTGACTGGCTCCTCCCCTCTCCTCAGGTCTCAGCCCTAAAGCCACCTGTCCTGTAAAGTTTCCATGGTCATACTGACTAAAGGCTCTCTTGTGCATGAGTCACGCTCACGGCCCATTTTTTTCCTTTATGGGATTTATACCAATTCATAATTCTGTTTCTGTGTCTACTATGTCCCCCATCGTGCTGTGGCCCCTGAAGGGCTGTGTTGTTCTAACACAGGGCCCAACTCAGAGTTGGGCTCAATGTGTTTGTCTGCTAGGTGCACAAATGAAAGGGTAATTTTGCTGCCAAGCCCTTCACAGAACACCTGGGGCTAAAGGCAGTCCTTGCTTCTAGCCCTCCAACGCAATGGCTGAAGACTCCTCCCCGCAGAACTGAAGAAAGCAGCTCACCTTATTGGGCCCAGAGTCCTGGAAGAGAAAAGACAGAATCTGAGGACCTGGAGTGAGGCTGGGGACCCAGGGTATGTGCGGAGGGGAGGACTAGCGGGCTCCAGAGAACAAAGGAACGGGAGAGGCCTGAGCACATGCCAGGTGTCCATCGCTTACCACCTGGTCATTGCTGGCCAGCTTGGTCCTGACGGGCCAAACAACAGTGTGACCTCCCAGGCTGCTGTCACCCAGCAGCTCTTCCCTCACCCCAAGCGATTTAAGAAAAGGTCAGGGCCTCCTAAAATGCGTCCTTCTCTGGGCAAAGGCCTGGGTGTCCTGGTGAATGGCCAGTACCGGTGGGGAAACTGAGGTTCCAGGGAGTGGCAGGGATCGCTACCCCATCTGTAGCCTGGGTACACACACCCTTCACGTCTCTGGGCTTCCCCTTGAACCCCAAGCACCTTGATAGAGATAGCGCCTGGCACGGCTACGACAGGCCCCCAGTGTCCTCCCAGAAGGAAGGGCAGGGAGCCACCTCCGCAATCCATCCCGTCCGTCTCGTTCTAGACACCCAAAGCTAGCTCACCATTTCGGCCAGAGCAGAGATGACCTTCCCCAGCGTGGTCAAGGACTTGTTGATGTTGGCTCCCTCCTGTGTGCAGAGAAGACAGTCAGGACATCAGAAGCCTCAGGAGCCTCTTGCTCCAGAGTGATCCCCTGGGACCTCGGCCCATGTGACACGGGGCGAAGGCCGCCGAGCCCTGACCGTTAACCCCAGGGTTCCTTGGAGCATGGGAGGCTCTGGCAAGAAGCCAGGTGGAGGCCGACCCCGGCCAGGGGGGTACAGTCTGCCCAGCTTCTCCTAGGCTCCCTGGGAGCCCTCGTAACATCCCACTCGTGCCCCAGGGCCCACTGGCACAATTTCCAGAGCCCCTTCCCACCCACTAGGTAATGTGGGGCCAAAATGGGGCTGGAACGTGAAAACTCTCTCTCCTGACACCGAAGACTGCTTTGACCAGAACTGTCTGCCTCGCAGCCCGTGTTCTGACACGAAAGCCACACACCAGGGCCAAGTTACTGCGAGGGCCTGTGAAAGGCCCAGCTTTCCTGCCAGGGTCTCTGTCCTTGTTAACCCCTAGCAGTGTGCCAGGCGCTGCCCTCTGGCTACCGGCCTCCTCCCACCTCCTCCCGTGCCCCCTGCTCTCCCTGCCCGAGCTCACCCTGGGTGGGGGTGGCCCCACCTGCAGCCCCAAGAGGAGCCCTCCTGCCCAGCCCACCCTGGAGCGAGCCCAGCTCAGAGATGCGATCCGCCAGATGAGCGAGGCCCAGGATCACAGACATGGCAGCCTGGCTCCTACCTTGAGACGTGTGCCCTTGGCTCCTGTGGAGTCGGCCCGCTCACTCCCGGCCAGGTCCACCAGGCTGATTTTGCTCACCTGAAATGGCAAGTGTGTCATATGCAGGAGACGCCGCAGGGCCCCTATGGGGGTGCCCACCTCCTCCCAGCACGGCCTAAAGCACACACTTGAGGAGCCACGGCCAAGCCCTTCCCCAGGCCTGACGGTTTCTAACCCTGCACAGTGTCCCTCCCTTCACAGCTCGTCCGAGACTCTGCCTAAGGTCAAAGCCCACCTCCCCAAGAGGCTGCGTGCCCCTCACCCCTAAAACGCCCGATGCTGCCGCTGTGCTGGTCTCATCACGTGGGGCGCTCTTCATGTGTTGGCACAGAATTCCCCCCAGAGCTCCCCAGGTGTGTCCTGTCCCATTTCCACAGATGGGCTCATCAGCTGTGGTGGGATCTGAACCCAGTTCCAGCACCCCAGCCGCCGCTCAGCTGCCTCACACACGTTCCAGAAAGACCCAAGCCCTCCCGATCCGTGGCCACTGCAGATAGGACTTGCCCAGACATTAACAGTCAGGAGACCCTCTTGGTGCCCAGAGCCCACAGCAGGGAGGACGGTCACAGCGGGTGGCCCACAGCTAGGTCCACCCTGTTCCAGCTCGCGCTCTCTGCCCACCCAGACCCACTGGGCCATCGTGACTCTTGGGGAGAATGGCACCAGGCTGAGGTGACCCTGGCATGACTGGGGACTAAGTGGGGCCAACTTCTCCCAGACACCCTGCAGACCCTGGGGTGCTGCCTGAGAGAGTGCTGCCTGTCGGGAGGTGGCTGAGGTGCCCCAGGAGGAGGCCTGGACCATGGGTCAGGGAAGATGACACGGAGAAAACCTGACACCAAGGGACAGAGCCACCGATGGACAGGAAGAGGCTCTGAGCCTGCCCTGCCGCCCTCCTGGGAGCACAGAGACTACGTGTCTGGATAGAGGCCCCAGGAGACGGTGCCCTCCTGGGCCACCGGCGATGCCAAGGCGTGTGGGAAAGGCATCCAGGGCTGGGGCTGTGGGCAGGCTGGTTCCCCGGGCAGCACAGCCTCGGCTTTGTGTTTGTGGATGCCGGGGCCCCGGCTCCTGCCAGTCGGCCAGGGCCCACAGTCACCTTTGTGACAGGCACTCACTCAACCCGCGGCCCCCAGCCTCCGAGGGCCACCAGCATCCACAGTGGCGCAGCTCTGGGGACAGCCCTCCTCAGCCCCCAGTCTCCACCACAACTCCTGGCAGGAGGCAGACGGAGGCAGACGCCAGGTCCGTGGACCCTCCCCTCCCAGCCCCCTCCACGCCCCAGCCGTGCCAAACGCTGAGAAGAGGTGGCCTTGCGGGCCGGGCCAACTTCTTGGAGGCCCACGCCAGGCTGGGGGTGGGCACACGCCTTGCAGGCCGATGGTCACCCTGGCCTCCTCGTCCTGCCCGATGGGACTGCCCCCTGCCCCCCTCCCAGACGGCCCCCCTCTGCCAAGGCCACAACTCACTTTCTCTGTGGTGATGTTGGTCTCCGCATCATGGCGCTTCTGGGTGAAGATGATGTTGAAGACGGCATGGGAGCGGCTGCTGGTTTCATTCATGTTTGTGGCCGCCACGGTCCTGGGGGGACAGAAGCCGCATGGGGTTACCCGTCATCCTGTGGTCGGGCGTGAGAGTGGCTGATGGTGCTAGCCAGCCGGGCCAGGTCATGGGGCATGTCACGTGGTGACCATGCCCCCTGTCACAGCACGAGCAGGGCTCAGCCCCGCCTGGCCACCAGCTGCAGCCTGGGACTCAGGTGTCACAGGGGCTCCGCGCAGCCCAGACAGCCCCCGCCCAACTGCCTGGCCGGGGGTCCTCCTGGACCGTGATGTAGAAAAGCCCCACCCAGGAGGGAGAGGGGGCGCCCACCCTCTGTCCCCGTCTGGGGAGGGGGCAAAGCCCAAGGCAGCCTGCGGGGAGGCCTGGGGCTGGTCCCAGCGCTGCTGACATGCAGAGACCTCACTGTCAGACAGCCCCCAGCAGGGAGAGGCCTCGTCACAACAGCACCCTCACGGCACCGCAACAGCGAGGAGGACCCTCACCCTCCCGGAGCCCCCGGGTGGCAGAGAGGGGGACTGTTGCCGTGACCACCCGGGCAGCGCAGCCAGGGAGACGGACTGCCTGTGCCCGGCTATGCCTTGCAGTCGGCCCTTCCCCGAGAGCCCCTACCTTGTGCCCTGTCCAGAGGGCCGTTTGTCCTCAGAGAAGGCAAGGCTGGTCCTCCTGACCACGGAGCCCGACAGGGCAGCTGCCCATGGGGAGGGCCCCCCGGGGAGCCACCACAGACGACAACCAGTCCCCCCCAGGGCACAAACCAGCCCCCCAAGAGGAGCAGCCCCTGTGTAGGAGATGGGGTGGGGGATCTGGAGGTCCCTCTCAGGCCGGCATGTGCCCTCTGTGGCCTCATCCCATGGGGCCCACCCCTCCACGGCGGGGCTTGGACAGACGCCGTGGGCAGGCCAACAGGCGCCCCAGGGACCGGGCCTTCCTCAGAGGTTTGCAGCAGTGGGCACGGGGAGGATGGGCGAGCCACCCGGCACGCACCTGGCCTTGTTCCCTGAGTCCATGAGGTCCTGAATGTCATTGTAGGAAGTGACAGCCAGCTTGGAGAGGTCCTCCACGTACGGCCCCATCAGCGGGTGCTCTCTCACACGTAGGTTGCCCTTGTTCTTGGGATTCAGGAGGTCACGGACACGCTCACAGTAAATCTCCATGTAGCTGACCTGCAGGGCAGAGACATTCCATCAGGTACCCCCCCAGGTGTGGTGCCAGGGGGCAACGGGGGTCACCATCAAGGACCCCCAGGATAGGAGGAGTGGGGGCCTTCATCAGAAACCCCCAAGGTGGAGGGGGGTTGCAAGGGCTATCAGGAGCTCCCAGGTGAGGAGTACAGGGGGCATGGGGGCCACCAGCAGGGACCCCCCAAGGTGGGGGTGTAGGGCCGTCATCAGGACTCTTGGGATAGAGGTATGGGGGCGGCCTGCTGGGTAGGGGGAGGCGTGCCGAGGACTCCCATCCCCTGTATGAGTGCATGAGCTGGGGTGTCAGCCCAGCCCCTCCTGCTGGCCTCCCCCCACCCACAGCCGTCCTGTGGGCCTGTCCAGCAGGGACACCCTGGGGCCACCGTGGCCACAGCAGAACCGGGTTATGCAGCTCGGAGACACCTGTCCTTGCACCTGGCACAGAGCACTAAGTAAACACTCGCGGAGCAGAGGACCATCCCTCGCTCCTCCGTGCCCAGCACTTCTCCCTGTCTGGAGCGGGTACGCTGACATTGCGTGCACGAGTGAGTGACAAGCTCAGGGTACCAACCAGTGCTGGGGACTTGCTTTAAATCGGAAAAGCACTGCTGTCCATGCCTGGAACCCCCCCCCGCCCGCCCCATGCTGGAGTCACGGACACTCGGGGAGCCCTACCTCCACGGAGTAGGACATGTTATCATTGGTTGTGTCGTTGATACGGGAGAACAGGTCCTCACAGAGCTGCAGGGCCAAGGACATAGCGTCAGACGATGGGGACAACGGGGCTGTTCTTGAAGGCCTGTCCCCCGGGTGCTGTGGGCAGCCTGAGCCCAGGCTGGACACAGCTCTCCGGGCCCTCTTGCTCCCTAATAGTCCATCTCCAAAGCATTGAGAAAGCCTGCACCCAAAAAGCAGCTGTCTTCTGCTTAAGTCATGGAGTGCTCATGGATGATATCTGATCCTTTCCTACACTCTGAGCACCATCTTTGTCTGCACGGAGTGGGTGGGAGTCTCTCATGCTACAGACTACCTGGCGTTCTCCCCTGCCCTGGCCAGCTCAAGCCCTGACCAGCTCAGATCCAGAGGCCTGCCCAGGGGGGCTGGGCAGGGTGTCAGCCAGCGTCCCAGCAGTATCTGAGGCATCTGTGTCTCAGCCTTCAGTTAACCGAAGGCTGCCCCTTGTCCGGGCATCTCTCCCTGCCCAGACCACCAGCCCTCACAGCCCCCCAGGGCAAGGTCAGCCATGCCAGTGGCTCTGCCCCTCCAGCACCCCATGACAGGGCCTGGGCTCCAGCCTCTTCCTGCCCCCCACCCTCCCAGTTTACCTTCCTTCCTGGCTCCCTTCCCCCTGGGGCTCCTCTCCTGGGGCGCCCTGCTGGGCTCTTGCGTCCCGGCTGGTGCAGCCCTGTCTGGTTGGCCCTTACGAGGCCCCGCACCACCCTGCCCCCAGCCCGCGTGCCTGGGGGATGATGCCCTGCTGGTCCTTCTCCTGCTTGCCCATCATGGTGTAGGACTTGCCAGCCCCCGTCTGCCCGTAGGCGAAGATGCACACGTTGTAGCCCTCAAAGGCATGCTGCAGCATCTCCTCGCCGATGTCCCGGTACACCTGCTTCTGGGAGGCGTAGTTGATGTCCTCAGGCTGGAAGACAGGAGGCGGTGCAGCTGTAGGAGGCTGGGTGGGGGGCTTGGCCCGCCGTGTTCAGCAGCTGGGGGCCTCACGGGCGCCACAGGCAGTGCAGTGCGGAAGGACACCTGCCCCCCACCCCCTCTCACACTCCCTGCAGAGGGGACCCAACCCTGCTCAGCAGGGTGCAGCTTCCCGAGGGAGGGACTGGAAGGAGCTGGCCAGGCGGGGCGGGGCGGCCGGGGCAGAAGGGCACCTGTACCAGGTGCTCAGAGGCAGGAGCATGAGACACAGTGCTCAAAATCGAGGCGGCCTTGGGAGTGAGGACAGGTGGGGCTGGAAGGGCAGGGCCTGGAGGCCCAGGGAGCCCAGCGACCAGACTACCGTGTCGTGTCCAGATGCTCTCCTAACAGAGGATTGCTTTAGGGAGGCCCCAGGGGGTTACCCTAACAATGCAGGTCACTGCTCAGCGTGACCTTTCACACACAAGGGCCTTGGGAAAGTAGTCCTCCCCCCCCACCCCCGAGCAGGCACCGCTGGCCCCTTCCCTGGGCCTCACACCTGTCCCTCCCTCCCCTGCCCAAGCAGCGGCCCTGTTTAGAGAGACACATGCAGGGATGGTGGAGCATCCGCACTGCTGCGGCCCAGCCCCCTGAACCCCAGCCCAGGGCTTACCGAGGTGTGCGACCAGTAGGAGTAGTCGAAGCTGAAGCTTTTGGGTGTCTCCTTGGGCTGTTTAGGGTTAACGATGGCTGCAGAGAGGATGGGCATGGCAGTTAACACTCTGCTGGGGGGAGAGGCGATCAGCACGTGTACCTGCCCCCCAGACAGGCGCCGCAAGGCAGCGAGGTGCGGTCCTCAGAGGCCTCTGGCCCCAGACAAGCCAGCCCCCCGATGGGATGGGGCCAGGGCTCCAATTACAGGCAGACAAGCCTGTGTGCCCCTTTCCTCTGTCTGGTGGACCCTGCTGCCCACAGATGCACTGAGGGCACCCACAATGGCTCCTTCCTGCAGATGCTGGGTCAGCCGGAAACCCCGCAGCCCACCCCCACCCCTCGGTCCAGCCCTGCTCCCCACCCCACCCCTCTGGGCTTTTCCACATCTGCTCTGCAGACACGCGTCCTAGACGCACCCGGAAGGCTGGGGCATCTGGGCTCGGTCGAGCTCTGCTTCCTGCGGGCCCGCCATCCCCGTGTGCTTCCTGTGTGCGCAGCATGGGCTGTCCCCACTGCGGGACTCCGTCACGGGGCACACAGCTCGTTCCTCCTGCCCGTGTGCCTCTGCTGCCTCCCAGCCTGCTCTCGCGGGCTCCCTGGCACTGTCCTCTGCACAGCCCCCCGCCCCCGCCCCCCGCAAGCGGCATGCGGTGCTGTCCAGAGGCTCCACGTCCAGAATGTCAGTTCTTCAAACCAGGAACGCAGTCACAAATGTGTGCGGTGCCATCATTCACCGGCCAGGGCCGGCCAAGCACCCCAGCAGGCCTCCAGCCCGAGGCTGCTTTGCCCCAGGCCTGCAAGTACCCCTGCCCCTAGCATTCCCCACGCCCTAGAGCCACAGGCCACAGGTGCTTGGTGGCCAGGCAGGAGCCACCGAGGCCCCCACTCCCATCGGGCCACCATCTGAACCTACAAAGTCCCAGTTGATGGAGGACCCTGAGGCCCAGTGTCTTTGCGGGCAGGTCCCCCGGCCATTTGCTCCTGCTGAGCACCCTGCTCCAACATGGGCATCACCTGCAGCCTGTCCCCAGGGCTGACTTGGTTTGGGGAACTGGACCCCAGATTTAGGTGTTCTCGGAGATCACCCAGCACGTTTGAGAAGCCAGCAGGCAGGAGCAGGGGACTGACCGTCACAGCGCTGTCCCTGGGGCCTAGAGCAGCTCACGTCCATGCTGCCTCTGGGAGCAAGGCTGAGGAGAGCCAGCTGCCCCGCTTTCAACTCCTGCTGAGACTGGGGATGCAGCCACTGGAACCCCAAGTGCAGATAATGCCAGCGCCGTGGAAACAACAATCACAGCACCTCCTGAGCCAAGCCTGGGCTGGGCCCCCAATGCCCGTGTGGCAAGGGGCCAGGTCCCCTCCCCACGCCCTGCACAGGCCTCACCCCCGCCCCATCTAGCCTGCTCCCGTGTCCAGCACGACCCCTGCCCTGTTCTGGGTGCTGACCTCGCTCTGACTGTGTCCTGGTGCTGGGGTTTTTGCCATGTACCTCTCATGGACTACGGGCTCCCTGAGGTGGGGGCCCTCCCAGGAACAGAGCACAGCAGCGGAGGGGGCCGGGGACAGCTAACAGTGAGGGACGAAGGGCAGGAGTGGGCCACAGGAGAGTCTGCCATGAGGCAGCGGGGCTCTGGTGCTCAGGACCTGCCTGTCACCTATCCCCATTCCCCCCTGGGGGCCCCATGGGGTCTTGAGACGTACCCTGTCATTACAGATGGACCTGAGCTCCAGGCACAGTCAGACAGGAACCCAGGGTCCACCTGGGCCTGGCTCCTCACTGGCACCTCCAAACCCTCCCCAGCACTGACCAGCACACCGCCGCCCGCAGTCAGCCTGCCGCACACTGGGACAGAGCCGCTTTGCCAGAGAGAGGGCTTCCTTTGCCAGACTCTTGAGTTTCTCCTTGTGTGGGATTGAGGAAGGAGGAGGGGTCCTCCCGGGGCATGCTCCCGCCAGGCCGGGGGGAGCTGGGGCCCGTCCAAAGGGCGTACAATACAGAGTGCACAAGGCATGGGCACCTGCCAGGGACAAAGACGTGGCTGGTGAGGGCCCCAGCTTGAACAGGGAAGGGAGGCAGGGAGGAAGGACTGACGGAAGCCATTTTCTGTCCACAAGCCAGTGCGAGCTGTGCGGGCTCCTTCCAGCACCGCCAGGGTCTAAATGCTGAGGAATTATGTGAGCCTCTTGTTAAACTGGCCACAGGGAGAGTATTTATATCAGGGAAGTCAGGCACACGTGTGTGTGCGCACATGCATGTGTGCATGTATATGAGGATGTGAGTGGGTGTGCACACGCATGTGTGTGAGCATGTATGTGTGCACGTGTGTGCATGTGTGCACACGTGCGTGTGTGCATGTGTATGAGGGTGTGTGCACACATGTGTGTGAGCATGTATGTGTGTACGTGTGTGCATGTGTGCGCACGTGCGTGTGTGCATGTGTATGAGGGTGTGAGTGTGTGTGCACACGCATGTGTGCATGTGTGTATGTGTGTGTGCATGTGTGCACACGTGTGTGTGTGCATGTACATGAGGGCGTGAGTGTGTGTGAGCATGAATATGTGCATGTGTGTGCGTGTGTGCATGTGTATGAGGGTGTGTGTGCACATGCATGTGTGTGCGTGTGTGAGCATGAATGTGTGCATGTGTGTACATGTGTGCACATGTGTGCACGTGCGTGTGTGCATGTGTAAGCATGCATGTGTGCATGTGTGCGCGCGAGTGTGAGCATGTGCGTGTGTGCACACGAGTGTGAGCATGCATATGCGCGTGTGTGTGTGCACGTGTGTGAGCACACGCACAGGTGAGCTGATTTACCAGCAGGCCACTGCTCCGCACTTGCAGGATTTGGAGACAGCCCACCGCAGTAGACCAGAACCTCGGCGGGGTCTCAGGGAACAGTTAGTTCCACACCCGGGCACTGGCATTCCTCACCCACAAGAGCGCTCACCCCCTCACCTTCTCCCAACTGACCAGGAAGGCTCCTTGGCTGTCGGATGTGGCCCCCAGCCCCCTGCCAGCCCTTGTGCCCCATCACTGCGCCCCTTCTTGATGCTGCAAGGCACAGCCCTTGGCCCTGCCAGTCCAGGTCCATCTGGCGCTGATGTGTGCGTTGCCCACCTCCCCACTGGAGCGTCGCCCCGAGGGCAGTAAGAGCCTCTGTCCTGCTCTCCTGGGGCGCCAGACTGCAGCCTCATAAGGCTCGTGCTCAGCAAATGTTTGCTGACCACTTGAAGGGGCCCCGTGTCCGCCCTGCTCTTCCCAGGCAGCCACAAATGATGACATGCCTCCCAGAGCCCAGGTCTCCCTGTCTGGGCCTTGGAAACCGTCCTCATCCCTGTGGGACTATGGGGACAGCACACGAGGCCACCACCAGAATACCCATCGCAACTCTAACGGGTGGCGGGCCTCCAGGGGAGAAGGCAGCTCCCGGCCCTGTGGCTGTCCCGGACGGGGCTGGCAGGACAGACAGGCACCCGCCCCCTAGGATGAGGCTGCTGCCCCGGCCCAGCGGCCTCCAGGGCTCCTCTGCGGACACCGTGAACAGGCCTGAGGGTGCCACCAACTCCACAGCCACAGCCGAGCTCCCTTCTGTGGACTTCCATTCCCAGACTCACTCTATTTGGAACCTAGAACATTCTAGAACAGTGACAGCAGATGGAGGCTTAGATGAGTTAGGCATTTGCAACACCTGGGTCTGTGCACAGGGCTGCTGGTTGACAAGGGCCTTTGGGAGAAAGACCACTATGAGCAGAGAAGAAGGGTCTGGAATGTTCCAGGGGGCCATCCAGAATGGTGGTCACTGCCTGAAATCACACTAGGACCAGCTTGCCAGGATCCAGGAGGAGGGCTGGAGGCAGGAAGGCTGGGCGTGAGCCTGTGGGGCCTGGAGTAGGCTGGGGGCAGGTCCTGGATGCACTGGCCCTGTGGCCTTGGTCTAGTCCCCTCCGCTCCAGAGGCACTGTCCTGGGTGAGTAGCATCCTCCCCAAATTCACATCCACTTGGAACCTCAGCATGTGACCTTCTTTGGAAACACGGTCTTGGCAGATGAGATTAGTAAAGATGAGATCATGCCAATTAGGGCGGGCTGTAAATCCAGTGACCGGGGTCCTTATAAGAAGTGGGGTCCACCAGAGACAGACAGACAGACACGCGCAAGGAAAAGCCCACGTGAGGACGGAGGCCAGCCCAGGCCTGTGGCAGCCACCACAGGCAGGAGACAGGCCAGGAGTGGATTCTCTCAGAGCCTCAGAAGGAACCAACCCCACTGACACCTTGATCTCACACCGCTGGTCTCTGGGAAAATCACTTCTGTCACAGCTCATCTGTCCCCAGGAAACAGACTTCCCATCGGTGCAGAGGGCCTGGGGGTGAGGGCTGGCCTGCAGTGGGCACAAGAGGCCGGAGAGGTAGGCCCTGCGTGGCCGGAAGGACTCAGAAGACAGGAAACCCTTCCAGAGGTCCCCAAGTCTGTGCTCTTGTGAAGTGGGGATGTGGGGATACACACAGGACGTCTGCAGTCCTGAGTAACTTAGGCTATAGCCTGCCACGCACGGACGAAGCTTACCCTGTGCACAGCTTGGCTGGCTCTCAAACTTGCCAAATCTGAAATGTTCAAGTGAAGGGAATCATTCATACAGGTGATGAACACGGGAAGACAAATTACGTTTAGCTGTGAATGTTTCTAATTTGTGTGTCAGGATGGAGCTTCGAGCAGCATGTTCCGGGACCCGGCATCTCCCGTGAGCACCCAGTTTTGAGATCCAAGAAGCAAGTCACATCCCGGCAGGGTGGAGCGGGGAGGGCCGGACGGCCTCCTGCCCTGACTCTCATGGCCTGGCGCCAGGTGCCGACAAGCAAGTATGCGGCCAGACGCCACGCGGTCGAATCACTGGGCCTCCACTGCTGCTTCGCTGGGCAAGTGCTCCCTGCTGAACTCGCGGCCTGGCCCCTGAGGCCTTGCGCAGCCTTTGCGTGGAGCACCGTCCCCGCCCCTTCTCACGGGCCCCACGTACACTGACAAGGTGGCTGTGAGCTGTCACCCAAACAGCTCCATGCTTGTGCACCTCGGGCTGGCTCAGGGGACCCCCCGCCCCACTCTGCCCCAGGGTCGCTCGGAGGAAAGCCCATCCTGCCCGCTGACCCCACTCCACAGACAAGCTTTCCCGCGCTAAGGGCTAGAGGTCATCCTCCTCTCTTCTGGGCGCCCTCAGCCTTCACCCACACTTCTGACATGGCTTCTAGCACTTTCTACCAGTACCATCACTGCTTTGTTTTCTCCAAGATGAATACAGCTCCCCGAGTGACTGTCTCAATTACCCATTCTTCTGACACTCCTTCCCTCTCTCCATCTCTCTGTGTCTCTGCGTCTCTGTCTCTCAGGCCAGAGGCGGGTCAGGGTTTTCACCCCCACAGCTCATCATCTCCTCCAGCTGTCTGCTTCCGTGACGCCCATCCCACCCCGTCCGAGACCACTCCCAAGCTCCAGGGGAGACAGGTCTGACTCTGATGTGTTGTTCTGTATTCTGCAGGCTCCCAGACGGTGTGGTCACCTGTGAGCCCCTCCTGCCAAGACCCTCAGCGACTGTCCAAGGTGATGGGCCAGGCCTCAGGAGGGAATAGGGGTCCCCACACTCATTGTTGATGTCCGGGGTCACCCAACAGTGACATGGCAGACCCTGTCAGCTCGTTGGGCACATGTCCTCTGCCCACCCAGGGTCACAGCTCCCAGCAAAGGTCACAGTTCCCACCCTGGGGTCACTTCTCACCAAAAGTCACAGTTCCCACCAGGGGTCGCAGTTGCCACCAGAAGTCAGGGTTCCCACCAGAGGTCAGGGTTCCCACCAGGGGTCACACTTCCCACCAGAGATCACAAATCCCACCAGAGATCACAGTTCCCACCAGGTGTCACAGTTCCCACCCTGGGGTCACAGTTCTCATCAGAGATTACAGTTCCCACCAGGAGTCATGGTTCCCATCAGAGGTCATGGTTCTCACCAGGGGTCACATTTCCAACCCTCGGTCACAATGCCCACCTGGGGTGACAGTTCCCACCAGAGGCCATGGTTTGCATCCAGGAGTCACAGTTCTCACCCAAGATGTCATGGTTCCCAGCCAGGGTTACAGTTTCTGGGCAGCACCTGGCTTCCCACCTCAAGGCATGAGTCACACCACCTGAGCACCTCTCTGGTCACAAGGAAACCAGGCGCCTGGACCAACCCTCGGCTCACACTGGGGGAGATGTCGGACAAGCAGCCAGCCTCGGGGAGGACACTGCAGAAATGCATTCTCCATGTTAGAGAGTCCCAGCGACCCGAGCGCCGCTGTCTGTGGCGGTTACCCATGCATCAGCGCCCTCCACAGCTTCCTCCCCACGTCCATGTTCTCTCCCCACGTAGTCTGGGATCACCTCCTCAATAAACCCTTGGCACCCGAATCTTCACGTCAGGGTCTGCTTCCAGGGACCCAGTGGAGGCAACACCATTCCTAAGAGCCATGACGAAACCTCAGATACGCATGGCCACACTGTGCCCACGGCCCCCAAACAAGCTCTGAGCAGGGCATCCACGACCTGCCCACCCAGGATGAAGGACCACAGAGCTCCACGGGCTTCTGAAAAGACCACCTCCCAGCCCCCACCCCTTCCCACAGAGCCTACAGGTGCTCAGAACATTCTAGAGACACCTGAATCCTCACCCCCTCAACAGGTCTAGGGAGGCAGCTGCTCTCGGCGCTGAGTGCCTCTCCCCTTGGCCAGCCCCTCCCTCTGAACCTGGATAGCAGGTGGGGTAGGTTACGTGGGAGGTGAGACCTGCCATCCATCCTACAGCATCGGGATGAAGTGTGAGCGAGCAGCCGGCGCTGAGCACATGGTACGGCTTGTACCCCCGAGCCTGCCGTGACAGCCGTGGTCACTGCCCGAGGGACCCCAGGAGCCAACCACCTGCTGAGCCCAGAATTCTTGTTCTAAGTCACAAGCGTGGGGGCAGGCTGTTAATCAGTTGGAGACATAACCCAGACCCTGGCTCGGTTTTGGTGGGACCCGAAACAAGCCCCGCTAACCTCCGTGCTGGAAGCAAAGGTGGACGGGGGTCAGGAGGGTCTCCCAGGGTGCTGCTCGGGTTGTGAGAATCTGGCCACTCGTCTGCATGCGGGGCCAATTTGATCCAAAATTTCAAGCCAAAAGAGCAAAGGCGAGGCTCAGAGTGGGTGCTCTCTCCCTCCAGCAGCCTGTGAGCTAACGAAGGCTGTCAGGGCCCATCTGCCTCCCTGAGCACCACAGTGTCATTCCCTCTCTTCCTACCGCCTATTAGCCTGGGGACTGCAGGCCTCCCCCTCCTCAGGACGGTTGGAGATGACCTACAATCACAAACAAGGCAAAAGAACAGGCTGAATAAGATAACATATAAATGTATAAATGCAGGGCAGCTGAAACAAGACGAGAAATCCGTAACCTCATGTACTGGGTCGGAAAGTGTGCCCCCCTAATCCATGCCCATCCTGAGCCTCAGAGGGTGACCTTCTTTAGAAATGGGGTCTTTGAAGGTGAAATTAGCTGTCACAGTGAGGTCATACTGGAGCAGGGCGGGTCCTAAATCCAGGGATCAGCGTTCTTTTCTCTTTTGGTGTTTCAAGTCTGTATTCACATGCTAGTTAGTCCACACACCGTGGAGGACTGGTTTCAGTGATTCTCACACACAGGCCCAGTGCTCACAAGTGCCCTCCTGAGGGCCCATCCCCCATCTAGCCCACCCCCGCCCACCTGCCGGCTGGTCAGTGTTCCCATGTGAAGCCGCGTGCTGAGGCCGGCTACGGGCCAAGATGGCCGGACCAGCAGAAGCCACAGGAGGCAGGGAGGAGCCTCCTCTCGAAGGTCAGAGGCAGCACGACCCTGTCAATACCCTGATTTCAGACATCGGCCTGATTTCAGAACTGTGGTTGGAGTCATCCCCATTTGTGGTCATTTGCCCCTGCCAGCCCAGGGAACCAACCCACCATGTGGACGAGGAGGGAGCTGGGGGGGCCAGGCCGGCCGCCGTGTCTGGCTGGGCAGGCCAGGACGTGCGGCCCCGAGCGACGAGCCACCCACGGACACCCCGTCACCAATACTCACTTGTGGTGCTTCCAGACATCTGAATGATGCACTTGGAGTCTCGGCTCATCTCCCGGGAATTAAAGGGGCGGACGCGTACCGCCACCTTCACGGAGGCCCCAGCCATCTCTCCGGGCTTTGTGGGTCACCCTTAGCAGTGTTGGGAGCCCGAGTGAGCTCGGAGACACCTTGAGAAAAAGGGAGACATGAATTAGAAACAATATCCAGAAAGGCAGAACAGCTACTTCTGGTTGGTGACCGAAACCTCTCCCTTCCAAAATCCCACTAAGGGACACCTGCATGCAGTGCTAATCCACAGGGACGAGGGACTGGAGAGGGCGGCTACAGACGAGAAACACCACAACTCTTGGACAAGATAGCCGACAGGACGAGTGCAGCCTGGCTTAGCAAGTCCGGGAAATCTGGAGCCCAACAAGAAACAAGGCAATCCACTCAGTGGGACCCAGAAAGACTCTCAGTGCCTCTGAAGGCTGGCTTCCGGCGGGGGGGGGTGGGGGGGGGACCAAAAACGGGTGTTGGTGGAAAGCCAGCATTAAACCTGCTATGGGTTGAATTATGTCCCCTCAAAATCTCTGTGTTGAAGTCTTAAACCCAAGGACCTCAGAATGTGACCTTATTTGGAGACGGGGTCCTTGCAGATGTGACTGATGAAGATGAGGTCACACGGGAGTCAGGTGAGCCCCGAACTCAATATGGAGTCCTTACAAAAGAGAACAATTAGACAGAGACACACAAGGAGAGCATCACACGAAGACAAAGGCAGAGATCGGGGCGATGCTTCTACAAGCCAAAGAACGGCTAAGGTGGACAGCAGACAAAGCCCAGAACATGGCAGCAGAAGGAACCAGCCCTATTCACACCTCATCTCGGACTTCTAGCTTCCAGACCGGGAGATAATATGTCTCTGTTCTCTAGGCCACCAGTCTGCAGAACTGCAGACTCGTGAAGACCCCCAGGCCCCCACCCTCCCCCTGCAGACATCCAGGGCCCGGACCTCCCCCACCACCAGGCAGGAGAGAGTGAGCCCTGCCCAGCCTGGGGGCCCACGGCCTGGAAGAGAGCGGGCATGGAGCACCTGATGAAGGGAGGGGGTTGAGGTACACCCAAGAAGCCTAGCCCTGGGACCCCTGTGCGTGGACCTCCCCAGCCAAGAACCTGGGGAGACCTGCCAGGACCACACCCTCCAGCAAGAAATAACAGAAGCTAAAACCACCAGGAAAGGAACATGGCAGCACGAAACAGTGCGGGGAAGAGAAGGAAAGTATTTTCTAAATTCCTTGTAATTAATGTTCTCAGAAAGAAAAGTTGCTATGCCCACGAATGGGTGGAGAATGCTATTTTTAAAAGGATCATTTAATGAATAAGAGAGTTCTTCGAAATTAAAAATATGAAAACACAAACTTTAAAAGTAAACCTAAAGGCTGGAATTAAGTAATTTTCCAGGAAAGGGGAGAGATAAGACTTGAGGATCAGTGAAAAGGAGCCACTGAGAGAGAACTCGAGAAAACCTCCCAGGACTGCCAGTTGCGAGTCTCCAAACTCAAAGCACCCACCACCCACCCCGCCGGCCGGAGAAAGTCACACACCAAGCAAACTGTGACATGTCAGCACTTGAGGGCTAACGGGAAGATTCTGTAAGCTTCCAGAGAGAACGACAGACCACAGACGGTAGAGAATGGGAATGGCATGGGCATGTCTCACACGGACATCAGACAATGATAAAGAAACACATCCAAACTGCTGAGCAGTGGGGATGGTGTGGGGGGGCGGCGATCTCTGCGGGAGCGTCAGGGACGGCAGGGGTGGGGGGTCTCTGCTGGAGCGTGGGGGATGGCGGGGGGTCTCTGCTGGAGTGTGGGGGATGGCGGGGGTCTCTGCTGGAGCATTGGGGACAGTGGGGGTGTCTGCTGGAGCGATGCTACGGAACAGCTGAACCTTTACATTAGATACAAACAGACACTGGACAGATCTCCGTGTGAGCAGACGGGCATGAGCAGGGGGCCAACACCAGAAGCAAATGCAGGGAGGGCTGAGCAGGAGTCGTCCCTCCAGGAGCCTCCTGGCCCATCGCCTTGGGCGCTACATGTACATGCACTACCTGGTGAAAATTTTAGGAACTAAAAGGACAAAAAGCAGGAGAGAAACTGCTGCTGGAGCCCAGCGCTGCCCGGGGCAGAGGTTCTGCAGCTGTGACCCCCCGGCCCGGCCACCGGGCACCGTGAAAAATGAGTGGGATGCCAAAGCCACCAGGCCTGCTCTGGGACAGCCTTGGTGAGCATGAAGCTGACCTTCACATCCCTTGGAAGGTCAGCTTCACACTCACACCAAGAACACAGCTCCCCAAGGACGTAGGCCCCGGGGGGCCCATGCCCACTCAACAGGGCTGTCCCTGGGCCCTGGAAGTTCACAGGCCAGAAGTGTGTGAACAGAGCAGCATGTGCAGCAAGATTCGGGTGAGACGGGAGGGTGGAAGGAGGTGGGTTGGCTTCCCTGTGGGAGCATCTGGGCTGAGGACGTGGGGTCGCAGGGGGAACAACAGGGTTGCGCTTGTTGGGGGGTGCACATGACACCTCATCCCTGCGCATTCCCCCACCTGCCCTACGTGCCCAGACCAATGCACCCGGAGGGGACCCTGGAACAGGGGCAGGTGGGGGCGGGCAGCCCTCTCTCCAAGCAGGCCTTGGATTGCAGCGAGGGACCAGAGGGCTTCACCCAGTACACCAGACTGCAGTCAACTCCCCGTGTGCCACGATCGGAGTGGGGTGTGTGGAAGGGAAGCAGCCTGGGGGACCCTGGGGAGGCCTGGGAGGAGGGAGGCACGGCACAGGGCCACCCCGGGCTCCCAGGCAAGGCTGAGCGTCCCTGTGGGCAGGAGTGCAGTAACAGGCACTGGGGGACAGTCTCACGGTGCTGGGGCACGCAGAGCCTCCGGCCCCACCAGGAACCACAAAGGTACAGAAAAATCTTGTTTTCGCTAAAGCTAGAGCTGCTGAAGACCTGATGACACACGGGTGAGTCTCCCAAGGCGGAGGCCGAGCCGCCCGCCCTGCAGGGGGCTGACAGGTCGGCACGACACCACCCCAGACATGGCCCCAGACACAGCCCTTCTCCTTCTGACTCTGGGCCGATGCTCTGTGGCTGCTCTGAGGCTGGCAGCTGGGGTCTGCGGAGGCACACAGGTCCCTGCAGGGCCAGAGTCTGGCCTTGCCTTCCCAGGGAAGCTTCTAGGGGGTCCCAGGAACAGAACCACCTTCAAGCGTCTGTTTCCACAGAAAAATGCTGCCAAATGTGTCTCTGAGGCACGGCCTCTTCAGAGCCCCCGGGGCCCTGCGGTCTCCTAGCCCCCGGCAGGGCGCCAGAGCAAGGCCCTGCCCCGACGCAGAGGCCCAGGATGAAGAGGGCCGGGCAGCCCCGCGCTGGGGGCCATGCAAGGGTGAGGTCAGCGGAAGTCACAGAGCTACCCTCTGACTCACACTCCTAAGCCCCAGCCCAGCCCACCTGGCCAGGGACCTGGTGGGGGCACTGTCCTCCATTCCCGTATGGGAATGAGCAGTAGTGTAGGCTCTCACCAGCAGCGGGGAGAGCCGTCATGGGATGGAGATTCTCTGTCTGTAAGCATGACCCTGACATAGCCTGGGCCTTTAAATCATCAACATGTCAAGGGTGTTATAAAACAGAACACGGTTCCAGAATGTCCTCCCGTACCCTACATCCTGGGGCTCTCCCTGGCAGCCAGAACCAGCAATAGTATGGTCTCCAAATTAGCAGGGAAGGAAATGGTTCACTCAGCAAATCCATACAATGGGGCAGGCAGTCCTAAGCAAGGGGACAGAACTCTGCATTTCAGTACCACTTCCCACAGCTCCTAACTCATGCTGCAGGCACCCGGGGCATTCCTGACACTGCATCTAAGTCACGTGGAGGAGGTGCAAGCCGGGGACCAGAAGACTCAGTCCCGATCCTGCTATGTGACTTAACCCCTGGGCCTCGGTTCACCCATCTGTGAAATAACAGGATTGAAGTGGATGACCCCAAAGAGATTCCACGTCTCAGGGCCCGGGATCCTGAGGAAAGCTAGCAAAAACTCCCTGCAGAATTTCAGTGCTTCTCTGGCCACTCTGAAAGGTCCTTCCCACAGGCCACTGATGGGCTGCCAGCCTGACACTGCAGCTGGCCACCCAAGGGGGGCTCAGGGGCTTGAGGGACGGGGCTCCTGAGAACACGGAGGAGGACAAGCTCAGGGCAGAGAGCTGTTGGTTACAGGAATGGCCAAGAGCTCCAGAAAACAGAACTCAGCCTGACATGAAGACCAACCACTGTCTAAAATGAACCGAGATGCCCATTAAGCTGTGAACCCTCCATCACTGGAGGCATCCAAGTGGAGTAAAGGCTTAGGGGAGAGGTCTTGAGACTTTCCCACACTGGGGTTCCAGGAAATCCTCCCTCTGAAAAGGGTGTCTTCTGCTTCACACTCCCCATCTGTAATTGCCACCCTCAGGAGAATCTGCCCCAAAGACCCCTTCCCATCTAGGAGAACCTCTGGGGACAGAGCATAAAGGTCCTGAGGAGGATCCTGGGGCTTGTCTCTCTTTGCGGATGGAGGGGAGCCTCACAGGGGCTGGGATCAATGCAGACTTCAGGCTATAAACTCTCAGGCCCTGCCCAGAGTCAGGTGTCTGACCCCTCAGGACTCCCCAGAACAGGCTGGACATGGAGCAGAACCATCCCCTCGGGCAAGCACAGCTCTTCCAAAGGCCGCAGGGAGAGAAGCACGAGAGCAGCCGACCACTGAGGGCCGACAAGTGCAGGACGTGAACAAAAGCCCGGGTGGATGGGGAGCAGAACTGGGGCCTGGAATCGCGCCCAGCCACACCCCAGAGCCCTTACAACCACAGCATGCACACTCATCCACGCACCATAAGGGTTTTTCCCACAGTCTCACCCTCTCGTATCCAAAAATGACCACCCGGAAGGGGACTGGAAGGAGGTGCCTCCCTGAGAATCTAAGTTTCTTTATGCTGCAAAATCTCTGCACTCTCCAAATGGAGAAAAGTATTAGGCCAATCCAGCTGGGGTGGGAAGAGCAAAAGCAAGGTCATGAATTCCTGGTGAGAATGTAGATTGAAATGAGATTTCTAGCATTTAGCA